ATCAAATACTATTTCACGAAATAAATAACTTACTTCGTTTCGATATATCAGTACAAACGGTAGCACGTGGAAGGTGAACATCGATGTCATAAGGGTTTAAAAAAATCCATTTTTAAAAAACATTGATTGACACTTCTTACATTTCCAAAAAAATATATCAATTAGTCCACACAAAAGTGGAAATGTGTCTCTTCACTAATGAAATTAAATTCAAAATGGTAGAAAAAGCTTTATACGTAAACCAAGAGGCAAAGATCTTAATTCCAAATTACAAAAAAGCTCCATAAAGTCAAAAACATTTGTCAATTTATAGGATTAATGGCACTTTGAAAGCAAAAGATTACAAAACACTTCTTCCTGACGTTATGTTGCAATATGTGTCACGGGAAACGCCCACACTGGATGTTTTAACATGATACTGACTCCCAGTAAGACATCCAAGGTATTCAAAAAATATTGGATAAAAAGTAAATATTGGATAAAATCTAACTAATTGATTGACCAGTCTAATTACCAGATCTCAAGATCTAGTCTTGAGATCCGCACAAATTTGGCAACATAAACTTTCGAAAACCTGAACAACTGTATGAGTAACTAAAAAATTACTGCTACATGGAACCGAAACAACTGTCATATATTTATTCCAACTTAATTTTTTTATATTTAAGATAAATAGTGTTAGTAATTGCTAACCTTACGACCAGAATGAAATGTGTAATTTAATTTTTGTAAAGAATATTTCAAATTTTCTTGTTAAATCATTCTATTTCATATAAAAAATAATTTATTAGATTAATGAATAATATGTTTATTTGTAAATTTCAGTTTTAAAACGAATTTTCTGTCTTATCGGAGTAGATATATATAAAGTATACTTTCCGCCTCCGCCTCCGCCTCGCAAAAAGCAATCGTAGAATTCGACAACACAAAACTCATTAAACATGTTTGCAAAATACAAGCCATCTAGAGTTGGTATATAGAAATACTTTCTAGTGTTAAAATTCCTAAAAACTAACCATTTACAATGATTAATTTAATTTATATAGCTGTAGTTTATGCGTTAATTTTAATTAATAATAGCAAGCGCAGTAGTTGTTTGTGTATAAACAACATAAATTCAGACAACTCTTTATATGAAGAACACAAATAATCTAATATATACTTAGACTTTGTGTGTTAACATACGGGTCCACGATTCAAATATGACAGGATGCAATTTCTGACATTTGCAGTTCAAAAAATATATATGCACACAAAGAAACAGATTTTTTCAAGGATTACTGGTGATGGTTATTTGTCGATATATGAAACAATTGTATGGTGCGACAGAGAATTCACGGGATCAAAAATTAATCATTTAATTAAAAATTAATCACTTGATTTAAAAAAATCTGATTTCATGTTTGAAAATTCACCTTTTCAATTCGAAAGAGATTTCTTGTCATAGAAGAAAAATAATTTTTAATTGTAAATTATTGTGGCAAATGTTTTCAGCAACAATGTCTATGTAATTACGTTACCTAATCGCAGCAGGTAACGTTTTCATCTAGGAAATTACCAAGTAATTAATTATCGTTAAAATTACGATAAAAGTAACAGAAAACGATAGTCATACAAATGGCAAAGAAATTTTAAGCAAATATGTAGATTTAAATACATTAATAACTTATAATTAAAACCATATTCACATTATCAGTCAAATATAATAAATTTCCCCTGCAGTTGGCCATAATATGGATTCCTAACCATAAATTTGTAATAAACTATTAAACGTTTAAATATTAAGAAGATTTTAAGATATTTATTAGTTATGCTCTACCACTGTGAATGATAGGATATAATTTCTTTTAACCCAATGGTTTATTTAGTTCGGAAAGGTGAGCGGTACTTGGATTCTGAAAAACATGCAATTAATAACGCCTCCATAAAAGGAATAGTACTGAAGTCGAACAAATAAAAATAACTATAATTAATTAATTCAATTATTGTATATCTTGTTTATAAGTTTGTTTTAATATAGCACAGCAAATAAAATTGTTGATGAACTTTCGCAACAAATTAATAAAACTCCAAGTTAAAACATACAAGTTTAATACGGGCTTAGAACAGTTGGATAATTAACACAGTCTCTGAGCTTTAAATTTGGCAGGGTACAATTTCAACCCTTGGTATGTGCGTCTCAAAAGAAGAGGTACAAATAATTAAAATAAAAGAATATTTTTTAAAAAATATTTGGTAATACCCGAACAGTTTAAAACTCAATTAATTAAAAATAATAAAGTTTTGTGTCACTACTGTTGAAAAACTACAGCAAAAACAATAGTTTTTTTTTAAAAAATAGTTTCTTTTAAAAGAATAGTTTTTTTTAAAAGAATAGTTTTTTTTAAAAACATGACTTCTATTTTAAAGAATAGTTTCTTTTTTAAAGAATATTATCATTTTAAAGCATAGTTTCTTTTAAAAGATTTATTTCCTTTAAAAGAATAATTTTTTTGAAAAACATTACTTTTATTTTAAAGTCTAGTTTCTTTTAAAAGAATAGTTTCATTTTAAAGAATACTTTCTTTTAAAAGAATAGTTTTTTTTAAAAGAATAGTTTTTTTTAAAAACATGACTTCTATTTTAAAGAATAGTTTTTTTAAAGAATAGTTTTATTTTAAAATATAATTTCTTTTAAAAAAATTATTTCCTTCAAAAGAATAGTTTTTTTGAAAACATTACTTTTATTGTAAAGAATAGTTCCTTTTTTAAAGAATAGTTTTTTTTTAAAAGAATAGTTTCATTTTAAAGAATACTTTCTTTTAAAAGAATAGTTTTTTTTAAAAGAACAGTTTTTTTAAAAACATGACTTCTATTTTAAAGAATAGTTTTATTTTAAAACATAATTTCTTTTAAAAGAATTATTTCCTTTAAAAGAATAGTTTTTTTTAAAACATTACTTTTATTTTAAAGAATAGTTTCTTTTTTAAAGAATATTATCATTTTAAAGCATAGTTTCTTTTAAAAGAATATTTTTTTTTTAATAGAATACTTTTATTTAAAAAAATAGTTTCTTTCGTCATAATTTATTTTAAAATCAAATTCACATACGATATTTCTACATCCTGGTGCCATTCAACAACCAAGTACGTTTGGCCACACCCAGAAGGGACTGCATAAGCAGTTCCCTGCGATTTACAACAACATGATATATTCAAAATTAAGCTAAGAGATTTTTTTAAACAAAAACTACTATGAACACAATATTTATAAAGAATATATAGATTTCAAGTAGATTCCTGCGGTTTCAACAACAACATACTACATCACATAAATTGATAAATAAACCATAAACTATATATTTAGTTTGGAGTACAATATATCTAAAATTAAGATAAGAGATTTTTTTATACAAAAACTACTACGAGCACAAAATTTATGGAAGAATATATAGATTTCAAGTAGGTTATGTATATAAAGTTCAAGATAATGTTCATATACATGTATGTAGGTATGTAAAAATATACATTTTTGTGCAACAAAAACTGTCATTTGTTTTGAGTTATAGACTTTGAGAATTTTTCTATTGACGTGTAAGTTTTTTCTTATCATATTCAAATAAAATGCATAATAATAATTACATTTAAGTTTTGTAAATATTGGTATTGACCTTAATTGTTTATGAGTATTTGTTTTTTGCCGGGCTAAGTATTGGTCAGGTCAGTTTTGTTTAACTTCAAATAATACAACAAAAAATTTAAATAGAAATACTCGTTTTATTTGTTAACTTCTCATAAACATAACTGTTTATTTATACGAAATAAAATAGATATTTCGGTCTAATACAAAAGCTTTTAAAAAAAATATCAATAACACCGAAGACGGTTTAGGAAGTAGACCAAAATAGCTGTTTTAAATAAATAAAGTATGATTTTTGTTTGAAATTAACAAATAAAATTAGTATTTTTATTTACATTTTTTTTGTTTATATTATTTAAAGTAACATAAAACAAAAGCGACCTAAAGCCCGGCAAAAAACAAATACTAATAACAATTAATAAAAAAAACACACTGTATTACTTATTAAAAAAACTCACACTAAGAGAGAAGTCAAGGAGAAAGATTAAAGTGTCGGTTGGCTATATAAATCTTAACAAAATATATTAAAATTTTTTCTATTTTTCTATATTTCTGTTTATTCACAGCCTTTACAAGCTATAAATAAAATAAAAAAATATAATTAGAAATTAAAAAAGTATAAAATGTGGTTTGAAATCCAAATGACAAAAGAGAAAGTAAATCAAGTACTTCAGCAGACGGCAAAAAAAAATTTATAAAAATACTCTTTAAAGTTTTCGAAAAAGAAATAAAATAGAAAACTTTTCATTTGTGTAAAATTTTATATATATATTGTAAATAAAGTCCCAGATATAGTGGTTCGCACTATAGATATTTTCTGTCGCAGTGCAATAATACGAAGGTACAAAACTTCCATCAGGCAACGAAAGTTCATCTAACGTAATGTAGTATTTTCTATCATACCAAATAATCAGTTATTTAAATACTAGCGATTGTTATATGTAAAGCCACATGAATAATTTTTATTATATGTACCTATATAATTATAGTTTGCATTATTACTCATAATAATAAGAATAACAATAGAAGTTAGATTTTGCCTAGTCAAAGCTTAAATGCCCAACACACAGATAGTTATGTTAATAATCAATTATTCATTATTGTATTTACTGAATAAATTTTTTCCAACTATATATTAACAAAATTGTTTAATGCTATTATATGCAATTAATTTGAAATTTATAAATATAAGTTCATTTCAGACAATTATTTTTTATCAAAATCATTTATATGCAATCTAAGTTTTTCCGAATTTAATAAATTTAATAAACATAAAAGTTATATGTTTATTATTATTTCAGACTCATTAATTTAAGTTAGTTTTTCTCAATTAAAAAATAAAAAATAAATAAAAACAGAAATAACAGAAATAGTAAACTCACCTGTCATCTTTAAGTAGTTCCTCAGCAAGTGAAAGTCGTAGTCGGACTGTTTTCATACTCTGCATAGGAAATAGTTTACAAAATGGTGTTAAGAACTTAGCACGCCAGCAGAAATGTGGAAACTCTTTACAAACGCACCACAAGCGCTCATTATGTTCAAATAAATATGTATGTGATTTACCATAGTCGAGATAATCTTCCATATAGGAATAATCACAGTTAAGTAAATGTTTTAAATTTTGTAATGCCATTTCCGATTCCTCCGGATCACGAACTTGTTTTATACCAAAATTTAATAATGGTTCATAATGATAAAAATTTCCTGGCATTGCATTTAGGATATCACCCAGAAATGTTGATCCTGAACGCCAAGTCGTTACAACAAGACTACGTACTGGCATTCCCCCACTTTCAGGTGTTAAATCTGTTAACTTGTCTGCATCCACTCCAAAACGCCCCGAAGGATATTCAAAATTTTCCATTTCGATTAATATCTTTGAGCGCTGTGCTGTCAGGACATCCGATATAGTAGCACTTAAATTGTATACATTCAGTGTTTGTGGTTGTACATTGAATGCTATATGGCGTTCATTATTCGCAGCACCACCAATACCACCACTAGTAGCAAACCCCGTTGCATCACTACCACCAACCCCACCACCACCACCACCACCTATAGATCCTGATGATGTGGCAACTGATGTTGGCAATGGGCGATGCTGTGCTGTTGCAATAAGTAACAGTATGCAGAGACTACTAACGCCACAAATTCCAATCAAATTTGCCCGTCGCGATAATTTTCTTCGTTTAGTTGTAAGGCTAATACGTTTCTGAGCGCGTGTCCTGACAGAAGCTGCGTTTTCAATTGGTTCACCATTGAGCAGCGGAACTGCCGGGTCTGTCGTCGCTGAGCTTGACATGTATGCAAAATGTATTTCTCCACCTTGCGTTTTTCTATTAAACACTGAGTTTTAATTCTCTCTTTGTTATATTTAATTTAATTTAATTTATTTATGTTTGTTAGTTAAAAAAATATTTATAAAAACGTTAAAGAGATTATTATAAATAAAACATATTTTAAAACCGTGAATATTATATCGGATTTATTTATTTTTATGTCAAATGCATTATTTTATTTACATATCTTAAACTTGCATAAATTATCAAAGTTTATCGAAAATGAACACAAAACATACACGAAGTACAATAGACCACTAACAAAAGTCAAACTAAACTATTGTGCAATACAGCTGACACAGCGTTGCAATAAAAGTGTTGCCAATTTAGTCGCTCAAATGCAATTACCAAGGTGGCCCGTACACGGTGAAGCGTGGTGATTATATCGAAAAGTTAATATATTTTTCATAGAGATTATATTATATATTGAAAATTTTTTAATTCAATTCTTGATCTTATATATCACGAATTTATATATTACTTTTAAATAGATAAATTCGAATAGTACTGAATTACAATAAGGGCCATGCTATACAGAAAGCCATGGTCACAACAAAATTGAAAATGTTGTTTTCAATCTAAAGTAAGTTCCCATTACTTACTTAAGTAAAGTAGTTTACTTAATTTTGTTAGTTACTAAAATTTGATCAACTGCATAAAAAACTTTCGTGCTAAGTTTTAAGGGAAAGGGAAGGGAAAAGATCGAAATGTGACATATTTGACACGTGACACAAAAAGTATATAAACAAAAAAACAAACTAGTCAAACAAAGAAATGGTAAGCGTTATATAAAATATTCGTTTTTTTATATAAATAAAATACATAATTGATATATAAAACCATGTAAATGAGTATTTATATCAAATATATATTTGATGTTGTTATACTGGCCGTGTGCGAGTTGATCTAATATGCGTTCTAATTGAGAGAAATTCTAAATTGTGTCGATAATAGCTGCGTTTCAGCAAACATGATCCGCTCAATTTTACATGCAAAACAAAAACAATGGGGTGAACCAGCAATTGATCTGGTTTACTTTCTGGTTCAATGTGGAATGTATGTAAAAGATAAAAGTGAAACGTATTTTAATGCAAATGAGGTTGGCAATGCGATGCAACGGTGTAGTAAAATTATAAACAAATCTACATTTATTTGCAAACTGCTTGCAAGTTTAAGCTATATTCATGCTTCCCTTTGAAATAAGCCTAATTGCTATGGTGAGGTGCATTTATTTTAACATTTGTGCTGTCAATTATGAACGGAAATTTTGCAATTGATATAAGCTAAACACTAGTTCTTTCAATTATTCTCCATACAGAAGCTTTTGATATGCCAAAACAAATACCTAATTCGCGAAAAGTATTTATATTTGCCATATACCACAAAAATATGTAAATTTCCTTCATTGTTCTCGTTCAATTGTGACCACCACGGTTATTTTGTATTTGCTGATTGGATTTTATTAACAAATCTATTAATATATGAAACATAATTAATATATAGCAATTGTATTTTTTATGCGCAAATACCAATCAATTAATCTTTAACGGAACAATTATTGATCGTTTCCATAAAATTTCCACTATATCCATGCTGATGCACTTCATCCCTTGAGCTTAATACACTTGGACTAGTGTTTAAAAAGAAAATGGAGAAGTCAGTTTTGCTCGATAATTCTAATAAAATCTGCAATTTCCATTCATTCACTATAGAATTAAATTTAAGTTTTTAAGTAAATACTAAATAAAAATTTACATTTCGTACTTCAGACATTTCAACAGATTTTATTTATTCTCCAAGTTTTAGATTTTTTGTATTCAAAATTTTCTCACTTATTTTTTTAGCGCCAAAATTATTTACACAAATCAAAAAATTTTGTACACAAACCCAACTGTCGTATTTCATGCGTTGCCAATTATTTTCAAACGTGATCCGTATCGTTTCAGCAAAGATGATTCAGATCATTGAGCGGATCAGGTTTGCTGAAACGCAGCTAATATTGTTTTCGTAATTTTTGAGGTTTGCATAATTTTAAAAATACATTAAAATACATATTCGCTGTCAAAATGCAACTCGCACCCTTTTTTGACTTTTGTTGCTAAATGTATGCAGCACAAAAAATCTCAAGAAAAATCCCATTTAGTTTACCACGGAATTAGAACTCGCACACACCAACTATATGTTAGGTGCTTTCGGCAGATATTACGTGTGGTAAAAAACAGCTAATTGCTGGCCTATATTCGCTAAGCGAGACATTGGCATCACTGTTACTTGCAATCTGTCAAGTGTAATGTTTTAGCAAATAACAAATCTTGCATATGTGCATTTAATGCAAGCAAATTACATTTTGTATAAAAATAAATACAACAAAATAAATAATAATTTAGAATATTTGTGGAACTAATAAGTTAATCAATTAAAAGCACTTTTTAATTATACTTTCCTCAAATATTCATATTAATTTTTTGTATATACAGTTAAACTTCCATAACTCGAATTTTCTATAACTCGAACCAAAAACAGTGCACCAAGGTCTTAGAGAGCAAATTACATACAATTCTGCTTCCATAACTCGAACTTCTATAACTGGAATTTTCATTTACTCGAACAAAAATTTTTCCCATACCGATAGGAATATGAGGAAAGTGCATTCTATAAGTCAAATTTTTGTTTTAAGTATAAATGCATTTTGCTGTTAGGGGAAGTCCCTTTTTCCAAACCAAATGTTTAATTTTTTTCTTTCTTATGTTGCTTCTTTGTTCTTTGTGCAAGTGCCAGTCGCTGGCAGTGTGGTTTAAAGTAAATAAAATAATCTCCAATGCTACACTCTTAACGGTTATATTGAGCTTGTCAATGAAATTTGTATATCAAGCTTTCCTACAGATGACGATATTATTGAGCACTATATATATATATAGCTCTAAATTACTGGATCCAATGCTAAGCGCAACGGAAAGTGATGATGAGGGTTCCATTAATGTAATTGTTTAATAGCCCTCCAAGAATGAAGTAGAAGACTCATTCAATATTCTGAATTTATATTTGCAAACAAATGATATTACAACTGATTTTTTTTTTTTATATATATAAATTTATTTTATTTGATTAAATAAATTTTTATAAGAGTAACTAGCTAACAATAATAATAATAAGCCTAACAAACAATTTTAATCCACAATTATAAAGAATTTAATCAGAAATTATCTCGCATTTCGGACAGGTTGCGACCAAAGATCACAAGGTTTTAGACGCTTAAGACGACGTGTTGGCTCTTTTCGTTAGTTTCAGTTCGTTAGCTTCATCATTCGGATGAGAGTACAGTCGCTGCAGGCGCATTCTTGCATTTCACTGTATTTCTTCCACCACCGTAGTTATCCCTAGATCACGATGCAGATCAGAGTTCCTTACGTACCATGGTGCATTTGCCACACCCCTTAATATAACGTTTTGGAATTTTTGGATGGTTTCAACATGTGTGCTGCTAGCGCATCCCCAGAGCTGAATACCATATGTCCAAATTGGTTTTAATATTTGTTTGTAAATTAAGAGCTTGTTATAAAGTGACAGTTTCGACTTCTTTCCAATAAGCCATTTGATTGATCTATATTTTATATTCAGTTCATTTCTCTTTTTTTTACATGTTCATTCCATCTCAGCTTTGCATCCAATGTCATACCGAGGTACTTAGCCATATTAGAATGTGGAATTTGTATTCTATCAATGTAGAGAGGCATAAATCTGATATTTCGGTTTGTAAAGTTGACATGAATAGATTTATGGTGGTAAAGTTTTATTTTCCACTTTTCAGCCCAAGCGATAATGTCATTGACAGAAGACTGCAGACGCCTAGCTGCTGTTAGTTCATCATCTCCAATCGCTAGAACAGCTGTATCGTCAGCGAACGTCGCTGTAAACGTCGCTGAGCTCGTTGGCAAATCATGTGTGTATATTAAATATAATAAAGGACCAAGTACACTGCCTTGGGGTACCCCAGCGTTGATTTTTTGGAGTTCACTGTAATCGTTTCCATCCTTAACACGGAAGAAACGATTGGACAAATAAGAAGAAAACATATCGAAATACTCCAATGGAAAAATGTCTCTTATTTTTGTTAGTAGACCTGTATGCCAAACTTTGTCGAAAGCCTGGGATACGTCTAAGAATACTGCTGAACATACTTTCTTTTCCTCAAGAGCACTTTCGATTACGTTTGTGATTCTGTGGACTTGATCAATGGTCGAGTGATTACACCTGAATCCAAATTGATGCATAGGTATGGTCTGCTGTTGTTCAAGTAAACGCAACATTCGTTTGAGCATAATCTTTTCAAATACTTTTGAAAGCACAGGTAGGAGAGCTATTAGGAGCTAACCTCGTTTGCATCTTTCCCCGGTTTAAAGACCATAATAAATTCTGAGACCTTCCACAACGAAGGGAGATATTTCAATCGTAGAACAGCATTGAAGATGTTAGTAACTTTTACTAAACAGTTAGCTGGGATTTCTCTAAAAAGTTCTGCAGTTATGAGATCATATCCTGGTGTTATTTTTTAGCTTAAGTTCGTTCTTCATTATCATCATTACTTCAAGCTCGCTAGTTGGCGGCAAATTATTTATGCTATTAGTACCCAGATTACAAATTTCAACACTATTCTCATTACCAGAAATAGAGAATATTTTTGTTAAATGCTCAGAAAAAACTTCAGCTTTTTCTTTATCACTATTGGCCCATTGGCTAGTGAAGGTCTTTATTGGTGCGCTATGTGAGGCTGGACTACAACTAATGATCACTATAAGGCTTTAAATAAAATGGAATGTCTTTTTACTGAAAATAATAAAAAATAAATAAAATCCCAAAACTGATTTCTAATTATTTGATTTAAAATAAATAAATAAATATCTTAAAATATAATTCTAGTTTCTTTCAAAATTAAAAAAAACAATTAAAAAAATTCTCTAACTCAAAGTCTCCATACGTCGAAGCTTTTCTTTTTAAAAATGGACTTCGAGTTATAGAAGTCTGACTGTATTTATATGCAAATTTTTAAAATATTTATTTTTCACAATTTTGCATCTATTTATAAAATTTCACTTTCATAATTATCAAACTTGTGAAACTTTTTAATTTTACTTAAATTTTTATTTGTAATATTTTGACATATAATTGGCATATTCGTTAAAATTTCCAATGAAGGTTCACATAGTTCGCTTATTGCGTTGGTAACACCTTTTTCTTTATTTGCCAAAATGGTTGGCTTAGACAGAGAAAGTGGTGTTGTTGTTTTGTGTACAGTTAAGCAACTATAGGCCAGCAACTTGCTATTTTTTGACAGACGTAATAGCTGCCGAAAGCACCTATCCTATATGTAACAAAACATGTTCATTTCAGTTGGATATTATTTGAAATGTAAACCAAAAAAGGTCTCCTAAAACTTTAACTAAACTTTCTAAAAAATAAAAGCTCTTTCACATGCATAAATTAACTTATGCCAATGGAAACGATCAAATCTTAATTGAATTAATACTGTATTTACACTGTTTAAATGCTAATATTATGCAGCTGATAGAACACTTATATCAAATAAATAAACTTCACATAATAGGTCTGTTCCACGAGCTACTCATAGTAAAACATGAGTAAAACAGTAGTAAAATTTACACAAAAATACTTGAAAATTTGCTGGTGGAACGCGCTCGTGGAACAGACCTAATAACATATCACACAAATAATTAAATATATAATTGATATATTTGTTATGTTGATTTATTCCACATATTTGCCAGCTTAAGTTTTGTATTACTTTGTATTAAACCAAATACAAGAGAAAACGCAACATCACAGTTTTTGTTTAGGAATTTATCCTACACACAAAGTAACTCTTCCTGTTTACACACACTTCTGAATACACTGAAGCTAACTTACTGTCTTTAATGATTCAGCTATAATCACCATAGTCAATTTGCACACAGCATTCTTTGTTTACTCGATGAACAATGTTGCGGTTATAGTTCTTCTTATAGACATCAATTTATATACGACAACTACTACACTTATCGCAATAATGCAAATCTTATCATAACTGGGTGGTTTGGACAATTTTAATTCAGTTTTACTCAAGCCAACAAACAATCTGATTTTAGTTCTCAATGTATAACATATTACATCATTTATATACATTTTATATATTGATTACATATTAAATTAATAAAAACAAAAATTTTATTAAATACTTACTCAGGCCATATACGAGTTCGAGTAAATTGAGGTAAAGAAAATTTAAATTTCCTAGGGATTTTTTGTTTCTTTATTTATTGCTCTTATTTATTATTTTTGGTTAAAAGTTTGCAAATTTATTTATTTATGTAGTAAACATTTTATAAAATTTTCACAATGGTAATACCTAATTTACTTAATTTTTATCTAAATTACCCTACTCGAAAGTCCGGTAAATATCAACATTCACTGCCATATCGACATAATTTACTATTTCCCTTAATTTACTTAAACTCGCACACGGCCTCAGTGCATTTCTTTATTAGCTGTTGTTTGTTTACATTTTACATACAAAACATATGACCTATATTTCAAATTTTGCTCATTTCCCTTATAGGAAATTTAGGTCGTGTGCGAGTTAGGCTAAGTTGATGCTAAACCAAATGGGAGATTTTTTGGGATTTTTTGCACTACACACATTTAGCCATTTATCAACACGTATCGACACAACTTAGAATTTCCCTCAGTTAGGCCAAGAACGCAACTTAGTCTAACTCGCACATGTCCTAAATCAAATCCCAGTTTATCTGTCAAATCACATAAAACAGCTGTTCATTTCAGGGTAATCTTACTACTCTGAAAAAATATCTAGAGTGTTATAAATGAATCTCGAGTGTTATACATTTTGCCACAGATTTACCAATCGAAAACGCCATAAGCATTTTTGATATTTTTTTAATCTATAATCTTATAAAAATTCCACTGAAAATTATTAAAAAATTTCGTCATTTTATTTTATGTTTATATTATTTAAAAAAATATATTTTTAATATTTTAAAATAGAAATTTACATATTTAATGTAGTAACAATAATATGTACAAAGGCAATCTATGTGCTACAGATAAACAAATTATTTGCAATAGTTTTGAAAGCTTATCTAAGTAATTACAAATAATTTCTTTATTATACATTATTTAATATAATTATGAAGCAAGCAGAACCAAATACTGCTTAAAAGATCAGTTTACCGCGAGTTTCGAAATGTACGCGTCTATATGAACGACTAACATCGGGTTTTTATAATGTTTTCTGAAATTAAGTTGAATTAATATTTTAAATATTTTTTTATTTGGTCGTATTCAATTTAGACGCAATTGTGCGAATTGTTTTATAAATAATATTTTTAAAATAAATGAATATTTTATTTAACGATTTAGTACATTTAAGGTGTCAGAAATCAATAAAAACTTCTTTATTTATAATTATTTCTGGAAGTAAAAGAGCATTTTAGTTTTAACATTTTAAAATGATATGTTTTATCTGACAAAGATAAAAAATATTACATTAGAAGTTTTAACATTTATAAATTTGTTATTAAATTTTATAATTTTTGAACTTAGCAAATGTTAAATTATTTTAGTTACGTTTAACTATATTCATTTCAGACGCCCAGAACATTATATGTTATTTTTATAAAATTGATTATACATTGTCATTTAAAATTAAATATAGTAATGCGAATTTAATATATGTAGAATTACTGAGACAATTACAAGAATTTATGTGACAAGTTATTACATTTATCTAAATTTAAACATTTAAAACATAGTCAGATGCATGCCATATTCCCCGTGCGGAGTTATCTACCTTCTATCAAGCACGGTAAGTAGGAAATAAAATTCGACTAACGGACCATAACTGACAAACACCTGTTTGGAGCTACAAATACCAATTGTTTATAATTATAAATGGTGACTTAACCGGTGGCTGCTCCACTTCCAACACACCCGATCGCCATAAGCTATGCCCTGACAAAAGTGATGACTGGTCAATGAAAGTATTTTCCAACATACCTACCCCCATAAGGTATATAAATTGTAAGAAAACAAACTAAAATAAATAACTAAATAAATAAAAAAGCACGCGATGTGAAACTAAAGAAAATATCAATAGGTATTTGGAAATAGTGTTCTATATTGTCCTTAATCTTCTAAACAGATTCCACTGACACGTTTCGCCTTGGAACTAAATAGGCTCAGCAGAGTGGATAACAAAATTCTAACACCAAGCGAGGACGATCGGGCTAGTAATCTACTTCTATGAAACTGATTTTACTAATGAATCATCAATTTTAAATTTGTAGTTATGTCAACGCTTCAAATGGAGGTATAAGAAATATATATATATTAAGATTATGGAAATGCCAATATAAATATAAGAGATGTTGCATTATCAATAACATAGACATGTGATAGACTAATCAGTTTAGCGACACGACATCGTCCTGTCGGTCGGTAATATATTCGCCTGTTAACAGAGCTTGTTGGATAAAACTTTGCATAGGGAACATATGTGAATACGGAGAGATCAAGTAACAAATTTGTAAACATTACTAGAAAAATATTTTAAGCTAATATTTTATAAATCATTTGTATAACGTAATTATATTTATATATATATTGAAGCTTTAGCAAGCGTTTCTTCTGGTAGTTTGTATTATAATTTCATTGTACATTTTACAGTTATCTTGAACAGATTTTATTTTTTATTTTATTTCACTCGATTAATTATGACAAAGCCTATAGCTTTTTAAATGTCTTAAAATAAGAATATAAAACAATTACACTACATATGCTAACATCGTTATTTTTAATTGATACGTCTAATAATTTATATTTAATAATAATTAAATTATTTATAATCATTTTTTATTAACAGACTCATATTTTTATACATTTTATGCTATATTTTTAATATCAGTTCTCTGGAGATAAGAAATTTATTTACATTAACAACGAATGCACCTCAGTTAATAAAAAACAATTAAATTAAAGTATACATGCGTACATATTTTAGTAAATATTACAAATAATGTATTTAAAGCAGCCTTTTAATAGTATAAATTAGAGTTTAATGAGTACAGATGGACTATGACAATTTTTTGTGTTGATAGTTTATAGCGCTTAAATGAAACTACAAAATATTTTTATTTAGTCGTTCCCAAGTATATAATACATAACGAAACATATAACATACTATTCTTAAATTAAAGAATATCTTTCGACAATGTAGAAGTTGTACATATAAGAAGTTAACAATTCATCTCTAATAACATCTTTGAACATAAAATCTACTCAATTTTTAAATAAAAAAACATTTTTTTTTATATTGAAAAAATACATTTTTTTTATAAAGAAATAAAATTAAGAAAGATTAATTTTAAATTTATGAAGAGAAAACAATAGAAATAATAAATGTTAAGATCGCAGTCATATATCCCCCTGTCTCAGATCAATAACAAAAAACATATTTAATAAATACTGGTATAATGTCCCGTGCAGATGACAACTTAAAGAGCAATGACTGTAGCAACATATGCACGTGGCATAATGCCTAAACAGATAACAGCGTTAAAGGCATAGGTGCGATTTGCTAAAACTTTTTATTAAACTAAAACATTTTTAGGGACTTACATTGTACTTTTATAAATGTGTTAAACGTGTTACCGGTTGGAATTCTCTGCACTAAAAAGTGCAAACAAGAAAAAGCGAAAAAACGCAGATACGCATAAACGCTGTTATCTTTTCGGGCAGATACAGATTTATTAAAATTTTAAGCGCCAGTTTGTTATTGTTCTGCTCCGTTTACAATTTGTTTACATATAAAATATATTAAAAGCTATGCTTCTTCATCTGATATAATTATTTCCGAAACGGGTCGCAAAGTTTGTGCAGATATTGTTGTTGCTACTTTCTCAACAATTGTTGGTTTATTACTAGAATTATTATCACAAATTTCTTCACAAAGGCTGGAGACGGTGTTTGGTTTTGTTGCATTGTTTGCCTTTGCGACAGGGGACTTAAGTAAAAGAATTTGTGACAAATCATTGTCATTTGGAATTTGTTTCGTTTCCAATGCTCTGCGATTATCACTAACACCATTCAAAGGTAAATTGACAGTCTTCGATCTCGGTATATTGGCATTGATTTTATCATATTTTTTAATAATATCCGTTTGTGATTCCACTGTTTGTTTTATCACGTTTGAACTCAAAGACATTGTTTTAGAGTCAGTAATTTTTTCGGGTATGGCTAAGTTGTTTTCTTTTTCTGTCTTTTTATGATCATCACAGTCGGACTCGGCGTCAGAAATATCGCTATTAGCTAAATCATCTACATGCTCCTCTAACACTTTGGCATCTTCCTCTTCATCTTCGTCGTCTTCACTTTCTGATTCTACATCTATTAAGATATAAAATATTGCTTATAAGGTGTACTTCTATTATTTATATTTAATTTATTTTATTTACCAGTTGGGTTACTGAGATCACTTTCATCATTATCGTTGTTTACACTTGATTTCAGGCGAGATTTTTTTCTTAATTCCAACATTTCATCCTGTTTAGATGCATATCTGTGAAACAAATTCATTAATTTTTGTAACATAAAATTAAAGAAAATTTGAACGATATCAACATAACTTAAATTAAAATAAAATAATTATATAAACTGATTGGAGTTGACATAATACGACGGTAGCCGAAACATATATCCAATCCAAATCTCTGAGACCACAAAATATAAGGCTATTAGTAGTTACAGAAATAAAAAGAATGAAGTAGATATGGTTTGGGAACAACAAACCAAAACACAAATCAACAATACCAAACGAGCCCCACGCTGGAACTCGCAAATCGATCATCGACCATAAGTCCCCGTAAGAACATGACAAAACACAAAAAACTTAGTACTACAAATTGTTAGGTACTCATGGAAACAAAACAAACAAGAATCGTTGTAGCGGACGCTATGCTCCACAAATAGAAAAAAACAACAGTAAGCAAGTAAGTAAGTAAAAAAGCAAATATGTAAATAAGTAAATAATTAGGTTAATAAGTAAGCAAGTAAATAAGTAAGCAAGTAAATAAGTAAGTAAATAAATAAGTATGTAAGTAAATAAGTAATTAAATAATTAATAGTGTATTAATAACCCGCTTTCTGAGGTATTCTTTATACGCTTTACAAAAAGCGGCAAAGAGATATAGTGAATTTATTTATTTATAACGAAGTGTAAAAGACATTCGAGACATATTATGAAAATAAAACACTGTTTCAATTGGATCCTTTAACCGCATTTCCGGCTAATTATCTGAAATCAGTTTTTTAGTGAGTTTTTCATGCTCTAAACAAATCATATAAGAAGGATATAATAAAAGGTTTATGAAGTTTTTTGTGACGTGATAGTAAAGACATTGGGCGCGATCTGTTGTTAGTGGGTTTAAATCGAATATTGAATATTTTTAGCACATTTGATCAAAATAAACATATTTTTTGGCACTACCGTAATAGGTTGACTATAGACCATTTATCTTAATAATTAGAAATGAATTTTTTCATTATTTTTAATCGCATTTAAAGATGTAATAATATGGTATAATTTAACATAATATAATATAATATATATAAAATAATGCAATATAATATATTAAAATATATAATCAAATATATAGCAATATTTATATTAACATACTACATAATAATACAATAAATAATAGTAATAAATAAATAGTAATGATAGTAGTAATAATGGTAATAGATAATAGTTATATATATTATAATAAATAATAACAGAATAAATAATACTATAATAATAAACAATATAATACATAATAACATTATAAATAATAATATAATAAATAATAATATAATAAATAATAATATAATAAATAATAGTATAATAAATAATAGTATAATAAATAATAACATTAATAATACATTAATAATAAACAATATAACAAATAATAATATAATACATTTAATGATCATAGAATTTTGAACTTACTTCTCTAATATATCGCCTATGCTTTTGTAATGCTTTTGATTTTCTGAAAGTTTTGCACTTAGCACAGGATCCCAGTTTGCGGGATCCTCTAGATTAGCCGTATAATGCGTCACAGTTTCATAGAGATCACTTTTACGTCTTCTTTGTAACATTTTACCGATTTTCATAAAGGCTTCTTGTGCTGCACAAAAATAATTGGAAAAAAATTATAAATGCAAATTTTTTATATAACGTTTAAGCTTACCTATGGGTTTCATTTCAAACATTGTCAATCCAAATCCATGTTTCGTATTACAATGTTCCAGCACACGTAAAATGTCCCAATAATCTGGAAATCCTTTGCTTTTATTCACATACGCTTGTATCGTTTTATTAAATATTGGATAAATGGTGCCCTGGAAATGAAGGGGTCTCTTTACGAGTCGGTTAGCATTTTTGCTTTCTCCCGTTAAATCACATATTTTCTCGTAAATCTAAAAATATCAATAAGAAAGCGTATATTATCTTAACAATGTATTAAAAAAAGGCTATGAAAAAATCACAATATTTTTATTATCATAAAATTTTTAAAAAATCTTTTCTAATTTCATCTTGATCTACTTTTGTTTTTTGAGTATTTCCATCTCAAGAACTTCTTTTCTAAAATAAATTTTAGAAACGATTTTAATTATTTCTATAGTATATAAATTATTGTTTTTCAGTGTCGTTCTTAATAGAATTTGATTTAAAGAAAATTATTTTATAAATATATAAAAAGGTTGAAAAGCTTTAATATTTATTTTAATTAATATTACATATTGCTGTTTTTAACTGGATACTTGAAATCTTCGATTTCGTAAATCGTTAGATAACTTGGAGAATCAAAACAGCTTTTAAAAATTTTAAATGTAAATGACTCTTTTTCACTTTACCAGTTACAGCTTACGCCCACTATTATAGATTATTTTTTAATAGGTTTGTAAGCGACTTAATTGGATTAAGTTTAAAAGACAGAATCCGTGCTATGATGAATTACCATATAGCGCTTTAAATTGGAACCATCACGGAACGAGACGAAATAGCAGACCAGTGAACAACATAACAGAATCATATGGAACGAAGCTGGTAAATCGTTTCACGAATTTAAATGAAAAACTCTCCTAAGTTCCTAAGTTTTGAAACAGAACATAGAAGTAACGTCTATAGATTTCACTACATTCACGAATATTTTGTTACTATTGAGTAATAAATAATAATAAATTATTAAAATCGATATTAAGAATAATAAACCATTTTAAGTAAATATAATTATGATAATGAACCGTTTTAAATAATATTAAAAACAATAAAATAAATAAATATGATAATGACAGATTAATAAAATAAACTGTAATTAATATATATTTGAATAAAATTACCATGCAGGCTCTTTTTTTATACCGCTCCACTTGTAAATATGTTGAATCTTCATCATCGAAATCGACTTCGGATTCTTCTAAAGTGTTTATAAGCTTCGTGGTTTTATACAACGCTTTATTGAGCTTCTTAATTTGTCTATCGACTATTTTGTTTCCAGTAGAACCAGAGGTTTCCTCATTATTAACAATAACTAAATTGCTCTTACGACGTACTTTTAGTTCATCTATAATTGGTTTCAAATTGTAATATACGAATTCGGGCTTTTCTCGTATACGTTCAATTGTTGTACGAATGGTTTTGCGGAATCCGCGAGACTTTACGAAATCTGGATGAACAGCATAATAATATTTTATAAGCTTTGTGTTAATAAGTTTCTCCATATCAGAAGTAGGATCTGCGATGCGACAAGCCTGAAGGAGCTCTTCGAATTCTGGTACAAGTGGCTCTAAACATGCTGAAGTTTCAGTATTTTGTAACACCTCCGTCGATTTTGGCGATACTTGGTAATTTCCACTTGGTAATTCCGCAGATGTTGTTACAGAGTCTATACTGGTTGATGCAGAATCTACTCTGGTTGATGCCGAGTCTACTTTGGTTGTTGCAGAATCTACTTTAGCAGATGTAAAACTCACTTTGCTTGATGCAGAATCAATTTTGGTTAATGCAGAATCTACTCTGGTAGATACAGAGCCTCCTCTAGTTGATACTGAACCTCCTTTGGTTGTTGCAGCGTTTACTTTGGTTAACGCAGACTCTATTGCTGCTTTATTTGATGATATTTGATTAGATGTCAGTGGTAATAATCTACTATCGATTATTTCTGCTGCTGCTAATGCTTTTTTTTGGTCAACTGTTAATAAAGTCATTGGTACACCGGTAGTTGCTTTTGATACTATTTGAGGAGTCTTAGATATATTAAAGTTTGTCATTTTATCAGTTAGGTGTTCTTTTTTCATTCGTTTTCCTTGAGGAGAATCATCAACACAAATACTACCTTGAAGATTAGTTAAGTTAATACCTCTCATAGTGAGATCAACCTGTGGAATAGTGGGTCCTTTTCTTTTGTTAATTTGTGTACATGTCAAATTATCTTTACGTATATGGTCAACTTGATTGGATTTGTACTGTTCTACTTCATCAGGTATTATCAATTCTTCAGCGCAAGCATTTACATTAGAAATATCTGTACAGTGACGTTTCAACCATGCATCATCAGTATTTTGAAGTAATGTAATTGGCTTAATACGACGAATAGTTTTGTCTTGAATTATCACAGGTTTGCTTGTTTTTATATTTATTGCTTTTGTATTACAATTAGCTGCATTTAAACGGGACGATATTGAATTACTTGTTTTGTTAGATAAAGAGGCACAGGTCTCAATTTTTAGATAATCATTACTTAAATTATTATTATTTGCAATCATTTTATTGTTATTTCTGATCATTTTTTCACTTACATTTTTAATATTGTACTCACATTTATTATCATTATTTTTAATATTGCTATCAAAATTATTTTGCTGCTGAAAATTAATCTGTAACGTGGTTGTATTTGGTGGTGATAAATGCGGTTTAGTAATTGCTATAGGATCACTTAAAGATCCAGCTGTGTGTGGAGGAGTTGCTAGTAGTTTTCGTGGCGGTGTGTCACTTGCAGTCATTGAATGCACCGAAGTAATGATTGGTAATGGTTGAGAATTATTTGATATCTGAGGATCATTCGGTGATACGGCGGACTTACGATACGTTGGTGTAGAAATTTTTCTCTTACGAGCATGCATCGACGGTGTTGATAAATTTGACAGCTGTGGTAGCTTTTTTTGAGGGCCATAAATGTCATCCAATTGCTGACGTCCAGGTGATGCCATTGTTGCAACAGTATACATTTTAGACAAATTTGACTTGTCAGTTACTACAATACTTTTGACGTTCTCTGATTTTATTATTGGTGAATGGCGAGTCACTGTTATGGCACTAGGTATTGTTCTGGTAATTGGAGCCAAAGGATTTTGTGCACGTTTAGCTGGTGTAACTTCAACATTTTGGGACAATTTTTTTGCTGGCACCTACAAATTTAACAAACAGTTTATTAAAAATTTTTTAAATACATTTTATAGAGCAAGAAATTTGATAATTAAAGCTATTAAAGGATTTTTAAGTTAACTCTTAAATATTATATTATACAATTTTATAAGTTGTAATTGAATCACAAATCGGAAGTGTACGAAAATTTTGGTATACAAGAAAATTTTTTTTATTTATATTATTGAGCTTAAAACAAAGTAATCTATTCTCATTTCTAACACCAGGACTTCTTAATAAAATTTTTTAAAATTTATTTATTGCACCACAATAATTATTTAAAAATATGTTTTTAGCTTGTTCAATAAATTTTCCACTGAATTGTCACAATAAACTATTCTTCAAATACATTAGACGGTATAGCACTTATAATTACAAACTCATACCAAAATAAAGAGTTTAGAGATATACGATAGTTTTTACTGTGAGTTTAAGGAATTTTAACAAATTGATGAATTAAAAGTAATAAATAACCTGGTAAGGTAAGGTTGCAGTAACGACCTAGTACACCAAACCCCACTTGAGCACAAATAATGACCCACTATGATACCACGAATAGTAAAATAAAAACTATGACATACTAAAAACAAAACATTCTAAAAAAAATTTGTAGATCCACGTTTTTAACAAACTAAAACTTTGTTTATAAGTTTTTTAAAAGATTTAGTAAAATAATAGAAGATCGTTTATAGACCCACGTTGGTACATATAAGGGAAATATTCACACTGACAAACGTTTTAACCGTAAAGATTGTAACTAATCATATATAACAAAAATAATCCACAAAACTTTAAATTCATCAAAACACTTAATGTTTTTAGAAAAATAATAACAATCATCCAATAAGTATATAATATATTTTTATATTAGCTTATAATTTTATAACTCAATCATTTTATATACATAATTAAAAACAGAGTATACCAACACCCCGATTTGCGTCGTTAATTAGGACCGACAAAATGCGACGCAAATCGAAACAAAACAAATCGAGTCAAATTTCTTCACATATTTAATTTCCAAAAGTATTCTGGGTTTTGACCACTTAATGGATAATTACATTTTAACACATTAAATATCGACAGGGTTTTAATTTGAGTAAGCATTTGGCTCAATGGCATTCTTTTATCAATTGCTTCTGATTTTTTATCCCAATTTTATCCCAGACTTTTGTTACTTGTTTGAAAGGCAAATGTGTGACAGCTTTTCCATAGTCCATGATCTAGTCTGTATCACGATTACAACAATTTGTACAGTAGTTGTAACTATACCCAGAATTCTCCCAATGCCAGCAGATTTTTCGCTGAGTTTAAAAAGTTTTAAAATGTCTAACTTTTATTTCACGGAAATTTGTTTTCGCTTTGACTCAAATTTATACTTTATAAAACAGAAATTAACCTTTCCATTCACCACTCTAAAGCAAACTTACACCTTTTAACTAAAAACTTAGTACATGTAAATCCCGTTGTAAAAAAATGTGACCTACAAGAAATAAAATGGGAATCCCCTCTATACTCATGTATTACAAAACAAAGCAAATCAAAACACTACCGACGCAAACTTTTTTTTGCAACACAATTCGGATCAACAGAAATCGGGGTATTAGTGTACATAAATTGGAGAGGACATCGGACTTAATATGAACTGTAGATATGTATTCCTTATCTTGGAAGATGGATCAACTAAAATATGTCTGTGTGTCTGTTAATATGAAGCTGGCATTGCGAATTTTGAATATAACTAATAAAATTTTGAACAAGAACTGAACTTTTTGTTTATCCAGCCAATTGTTGCAGAATGCATGAAATTGGCTTGCTATATTAAATAAAAGGAAGTATTAATTTGAAAGTACCAAAAAAGTCAGCAAGGTAATCAGTCCATTTGTACCAAAACTGTGTGGATGAAAGACACTAAAACAGTGAAAAACTGATAGCTCCTTTCTTATTTTTTGATTATAATATATAGATAAAAAAGATTTTTATAAAATAAATAAATAATAAATTAAAACATTGTATTTTAAAATAATTTTATCGCTAAAATTTGTAAATAAACATAACATTGCACCAGCTATCCGGACTTTCAGACGGATATTTGATATTGGTTATGGGCTTTAAGGGAATATATATTTATATACATATCTATACATATAACAGTGGTTATATAAGACTCTGTTTTTCGCAGCCTTTTCAATACTTATATATTGCAGATTTCCCACAGAGATGTAATAATGAGTGGAGACGATTGAACATACTGTAATTAGTTTAATAAGTTTTAAGTTTTATTGTAATACTCTTTCAAAGTAAAGTACCCTCTGTGGAGACTGGAAGCCCCATATTACGTTGCTCAAATCCTCATGCTGTTGTAACCTGCCAAAAGCACTCGTAGATTGTTCTTAAGATATAGATAAACGACATACAAAACAGTAATATTAAGTGAGTTGGCTAAATAACAATTTTGATATGTGTTATATTTTCAGAAACATACATATCAAGCATAGGACCGTTGTTGATCTTGTTACGTTTTAATTGTGTTCTCAAAAACAATACTGTCATAGTATGCAGGGCTAAACTGGAACTCACAAGGCAGCCGCAGGACTGGAGCCCCAGCCAAGATATGGTGAAGAACCGTAGAGGAGGAGCTTAAAGACGCACAGTTCTCCTGGAACTAAAACACAATAGAAACAAGAAACATATTCAGATTTAGAGGGATCGTTGAGGCCCTAAGCTCCACTTAATAGAGAAGGACAGCAGTAAAATGTAGGGCCAAAAGTCTTTACTGATATTTGACCGCACTGATGTTATTACAATTGCGATAGGTGCAGATATATTCTTAATACGAAAAAAGGGCTTCATATATGCAATGACGAGGGATAACTCCCCCGTCGGCAGTGTTTACGTTCTCAAACCACTTGTTTATACAAACGATTCGTCGCCGTATTTGTTTTGGTGTTATCTTCTTATACATAGTTATATTTCTACGACAATTCATCAATTGTTTCTTCTTCCTATTCTTTCTTTAAACGATTCGATAATTGCTATCTACGTTGAGCGAAACAGAGAACTCTTAGTAAAATTATATTAATTCGAAATCAGTAACTGGTTTTAAGAAAAAACTTCTTGCTGATGAAATTGTAATTTGAGCACTAGTGTACGTTTTATCGTTTTTATCAATTTTATTCTCTAGATTTGTATACATTAAAATCAAACTATTATATTACATTTTTCCATAGAAAAATATGAATAATATAGTGCGAAAATATACTTTATAAAACTTGCAATATGAGCACAAACTTCATTTTCCAGCCGCTAACATCTGGTTTTTTATAGCTTGTTTTCAATTTCATAGTTTGTATTTGTGGTAGTAGGATTTTATTACTTCTTTAATGGTTTTTTGCGAAAGTGAAACTAATTGTAAAAAAATATGAAGCGTAAACAGCAGCTTTTATAAGTGACTCATATGATTTTAATTATTCCAGACTTTTAATTACAACAATATAACAGCCCAAGAATGGAAAAATTGTCAAACACAATTTACTGAAATAATTAAAAATCACATTAATGCTGTTCTCACTGTAAAATAAGTTTATTCCTAAACATTTTTCTGTTTCAATTAAAAACAATTTAAAAGAAAATACTACTCATGTAGTCAGTTACTTTTAAGTTAAATTATAGCAATTACGTATTAAGCCCCTTCACTTCAATCATGAATGCAGACAATGTTCAAGTAAGCTTATATTTATAAGAGTACATATACATTTAAATAACCAATAGTTTAAATGGAAGAAAAGCAGAAATTGTTGAAGTGGCAACTAACAGCACTAAAAAGACATAAAACAAAATAAAAAAAGGGATTAAGAATCTGTAGATAACAGCTGTATAAATATTTTTTGTGGGCGATTGCTGTAGAAATGGTTTCAATGTTTTTATATAATCTGCATTATGCCAATATACTGATAGTGCCTGATTACATTGGATTCATTATGTGTAAAAATTTTTAAAAAAATCAGTTTCAATATGGGTAATAAAAGAAAGTGTTTAAGTACAATATTTAATTGTTTCTTTTCCTATTATAAACAGTTATATAAGTTTATATTTACCGTGTTTTAAGTTTAAATTTAGATGATAATTTCAACATATTGAAAGATTTGTTCATTACAATACACAGATTTATTAACTTTATTTTATGTTTTATAAAAAAGGACATATTATTCAGAAATAAACGTCTGAGACTATATAAACCATATAAGTTCTTGATCTGTATGACAAACTATTCATTTAGCCTGGTCTTCTATGTGTCGATTAGTGTGTAAAATGGTTTCTCGCTTTTTAAGTTAATATATTGATTTTATACATTGGGACTTCTTATGAATTCAGATAGATTAAGTTACTATATTACTATTTATTTTAATTTTAATGTTTTTTTCAAGCTATGAGGTCAATAATTTATATTACTTCATATATATTATCAATTTTATTCATACAATATCCGATGGTCATCTTTAAGAACTTTTATACGACAACACAAGTAACTATATTGCTGAAATTAGTTGACTGCATTATATGTTATAGTGATCCCATCATCATCGCTGATGCATCGATTCTTTTGCCTGCTGCGTTTGACATAGGTAAAATTAAATTTATTTGTTATTAATTAATTTTGCAGCATAGTGTTCACTCATTAATTTTAATTATAATAATAACTCTATAACTAACTATAACTTTAAAATTGGTTTCAAAGACTTAACGCATCTGTATAATGTTGACAATTTGAATGAATTTTAAAGTATTTATATAGCATATAGTATTTCAGTCTTGACATATTACCAGCATTGAAAGTATATATAACTATATATATGTAACTATATATATAACTACTTATATATAACTATATATAAACTATATAAACTACATTTAAAGTATATATATTACTCTATATATAACTTATATATAACTATATATATAACCATATATATAAATAAATATGTTTGTGTATAAACTATATATATAACATATATATAACTATATATATATAACTATATATATAACTATATACATAACTATATACATAACTATATACATAACTATATATATAACTATATATAAATATATATATAACTATATATATAACTGTATATATAACTATATATAAATTATATATACACTATATAAAAACACTATTTCGATTGTTATTCATAAATGATCGGTGAAATAAGCATTAATTATAGATATTTTAATATATTTTTCAGTGCTGTTAATATTAATTTGAGGTTTTTTAATAATACTAATTTTGCATACAAAACTTTTACTTATTTTTAAAAACAGAAAAGCCAGTAATCATCAATACATTAAATATGAGCGATATCATAAAATAAAATATATTTTTTTTTTTGCTTCTATAGGAACTTTAGATTGAAAATTGTAAAAATAAAAACAATAATAATTGCTTCAATGTTTAAAGAGACGAAACTTTTGGGTTTTCAAAATAAACACGGAATTCGCTGAAAATAAAATTTGCTTCTCGCCGCAAATATAAATTTATAGAAAAATTGCGGCAAAATCTGAATATTCACGAAATGAGAGCACATACCACATCAAATAATTGTGAGAGAAAAAGCACAGGTGATATTAAGGCAAAAACAAAAGTAAAAGGCGCGAAACATTTCAATATATAGAATACACAATAAAAGAAACATGGAGTAAACGACCGAAAACCAATAAGAGAAAAACTAATATGAAGTATTTTATATTATTTTTTCGATATTTATTTTGTGTGTTTATTAATTCTTTTTGTTCTTTAAAATTTGCTAATTCATAACCGATTGCATGTTATCTAAGCTCATTTACGCACACAAACAAAAGTCCATATATATGCTTATAAATGCTAAATCTACACAACAAAATAGAAATGGACAAAGTGCTGTATCAATAGAATAGGCGTTCGATACGTAAGAACGATTATGAGTATGAAATAGATTAAATGCAGAAAGTTCAATTAAAACTGCCAATCATTATTTACGTTTTTGAATGACTTAAAAATGTTTGCAATTATAGCAAAGTTTAACAGGTGTAATTTTTTTTTTTGGTTTTTTGAACCAGAGTGCTAAACTCAATGCCCTTATATGTATGATGCGCTGAGTAATATAATATCGTGCAAAAAAATTTTAAGCCTGTCACGAAAATCACAGTTTACTCACAGTTTAGGTTCTCAACTGTTTATATTGTTGGATACAACTAAATAATATCAGATGAAATGTTATTGAGCAAATCATTACACATTTTTGAGAACTAACTTTTATGTAAGAAAATTGCTACTGATATATGTACATCGATGTATGTATGTAAGTGCATACATATACGTAAAGGTAAAATGTAAATATTGCATTATATCCTGACGTTAGTTAATAATATTACTTTATTAAAGTACATTTCTGCTAAGTCTTTGATTAATCATATCGCAATAACTTTAAACATGAAAAAATGCATGGTTTTGGTAAAAACAATGCAAAATTATTTATGAAAGCCCGCCAAAAATTTTACGAATTTAATATATTAAGCAAAATTTGAAATATGCATAAATTGAAATTTGTAAACTCAAGATTTTTAGTTTAATTTTTTATTTTCGGTGTTTTGAATAACAATTCAGTAGATATTTTCATCCTTTTAGATTTTTCACAGACAAGAATATTTATTTGTTACATCTTATACTTTTATTGTTTATATCAATAAATTTATATACATTTCTGAATCATTAACTGTTAGCATTAAAAACAACATTAAAAATAAGATCATAAAAATATTGGCGTTGTTGTTCGTAATTCGTTTTAATTTTAGGTAATAGTTTTTGTCACTTCCATAACGAAATAACGAAGAATTTGATAGATAGTATATCTTAAATTTTAATATGATGCAGTCAATCTTCACTTCCATAACTTGAAATACCATTTCGCAAAGAAAAGGTTCGACTTATGGAGATTTCCAGTTAAAGAATTTTTTTGTAATTGTATGTAATTTGCTCTCTAAACCCTGTTGCACTCTATTTAGTTCGAGTTATAGAAACTTCGAAATGTAGAAGTTCGAGTTATGGAATTTAAACTATAATTTTTAATTGAATATATCATCTTGAAATTATCTGAGAACACAATATTATATGAACTAATCCGGCATTCATGTAAATCACTTTGAATCAAAAGTGCAGAGTGCAAGATAATAACTTGCAAATGTTTATAAATATATCTCACATTACATAATAAACACAATAACTTTAATGTAAACATTTTGCATTACTTGTTGTTTATTATATCGCCATTAAAAAAGTGTACATATTAAAATTAAATAAAATAATTTGGAGCCTTTGTTCACAAGACAAGTTTTTTATGCATATTTTCAACTCAACTTTTTTTATTTAATCGCAATTGTACTTATTGGATGCTATTCAAAGATAAATGACCATTGCTTGGAGTTTTTATTTTTTTTAATAAAAATAACAACAAAACAAAAATAACAACAGAAGTTGTATTTTTATATTTCTAGAGTGGAAGTTTCAAACTAACCTCATATTAATACAATACATCACAATTAATTCAAATTCACTTTGTTTTGTATTTTGCCATTTTCTTTTTACATATATCTTCGCAAGATGTGTGTTAGAAGCAAAACCATTCATTAGGAATTGTGCAAAATAGAAAAAAACGTAGTAGCGATGTTTGTGGTTTTTAGCGCAAAGCGACAGAAAAACACGAATAAAAATGCACACAATTAATTTATAAAGTTAAAAGGAACGTTGTTAATACAGCGAAAATATTTTCTTTTTCGTTTTCTTACCTCATCCTCGTCAGAAGAATCGGATATTAAAATTATCGAGTTCATTTATGGAGCGCAAATGAAATTTAGCGCTTTCACAATTTTATTTTAACCAGTAAATGTTGCAATAAGTATTAAAGAATTTTTTCAATTAAATTTAATAGTTTTTAAGTTTTTTTCACAAAATTTTGATTATAAACACATCAAATATGACTGACTAGGCGGCTCTCTATGCTTCTTTCCACTAGTAAACGGAGAATATAAAGTATTAACACACGACATTGTTTCAGAGCAGAATGCTTTTTCTTTCTCACATTAGCCTTTTTTTATGGTTTTCTTTTTGTTTTACTCTAAAAATTGAACAATCTGCTATGTTTATTAATGCAAAAGACAGTTTAATTTGACATTTCTGTACTAATTTGACATAATGAAAAAGAGAAAAGAAGAATCTCAGGCGAATTCATTTTAAAGCGAATTCTCACTTGATATTAATGTTGTTATAGTATTGGTGTGAGTACTGCTAATGTCATTATTCACAAGCAAATGAAGTTAAGTAAATATCAAAATGTATTTAAAGTTTAAACGCAAGGAAAATATACACGTGTATAAGAATAATGCCAATTTTTGTTAAAATTTCCTGTAATGTTACTTTAATACTATAGTAATAAAAAATTTTGAATCTTTGCTAGCTTTAAATTTTACAAGCTATTGTTCATTGCTCTTATTACGAATAAGCAAATAAAAACATGCAAAGAGTAGCCATCATAAATGGCAAGACATTTTTTTTATTTCAACACAGAAATAAATAAATTTCAGGCAATTAACGTTAAACTAAACTTCCAAATTTATTACGTGCCAATTCCCATTATATTCAATTTAAGTTAATTTATTGTATACTAGAAAACTAATATTTATTTCTTCAGGTTTCGCTTATTTATTTAACTAATAATATTTTCCATTGCTAGGAGTTATTCTTATTCGCCAGATTTTGCATTCGAATGAAGAGTGTACAGATGAAACAAATATTTTTAAAATAGTATTAGTTTGTTTTGACACCTAATTAACAATATTATTCGTCACAACAAAAAATTAAAACTCAACTATAAACGAATACATAATAAATAAATTACGTGAAAACAATATTTTAATATTGAAAATTTCTATATTTTTTCATTTAATAGGTTATTATTAATAACTTTGGATAAAAACGATATAAAATTAAAATTTTAAATGTTTCTTAATTTCTATAAATAATTTAATAAAAAATTCATATCAACTATTTAGTTAGATCCATCCGAATTATTATAAACTTCCAAAAAATAGTAAATAGAATATGCAGATCCAATTTTAATAGAAGTTATTGCTTTAAAATACATACATACAGTCGGAGTCATATGTCTACAAGCAGGCAGTACAAAAAATTTTGTTTAAAAATTTATTGGAAATATACATACTTTATTGTTTTTTTATAACATTCAATGCACAATGTCTTCGCGAAGTTTCTTTGCAAGTGTTCAAAAAACAGCCGAGATAACGGTGCTTTCATTGTCAAGGATATCAAAGCAGTCGATAAAAAGTCTACAAGCACTTTGTATTTCTGCAGTTTTAAGGCGAGTTAAATGTTAATGGTGATGGTAACAGTAATGGTGTTTGGGGATTTGGGTAAGGCTAAGGCCCCTATGCACTGAGACCAATGTGATCTATTGTCCACCTTAATGTTGATAATTTGAATTGTTTACTTATCACGTTTATGGTAAGTAATCATAAAAGTGCAAAAAATTGTATTGTGCTTAAAATACTTACTGAAAACTGACGATGGTGTCTAATCGGAAGAAGTAAGCTTCTTTGAAAAAACAATCATCATAAAATTTTGGGAGAAAAAGAAATCGAACCACGAAATTAGACATTTGTTTGGAAGATCGCACTGTTCGGTCCATACCATGATCAGAAATTGGATGTGTACACGTCAAAGCCGCGTACACATCCTGAAATTCGCTTAATATTAATTTCGGTAAAAAACACTCCACGTTTGGCGGCATTGGAAATTGTACATAATATGTAGCAAAGTTTGGCTAAAAATATTTCTGTGGTTACCGCACACAGGATTTTGAGACGGGCCGGTTTTCATGGTAGAGTAGCACGAAGGAAGCCTTACATACACATAGCAGAAAAATTTTTTCTTGAATTTCGCATAACTTATTTTATTTTTACTCAAATTAATTTTTGTTTTCTGATTTATTTTAACCAAAGAAACAACAATGAACTTCAAACATAAAATATTAACAATTAATATTTGAAAAAAAATTAAACACAATTATATGCAAAAGCAATAAAATTTGAAGCTTTCTCAGATGCTCTAATTTACTCGAAAACTTGCTGGTGGAACGCGCTTGTGTATCACAGTGTTACTCAAAGATCTAAGATTTAATATAAATAACTGAACATCTTAAAATGGTAAAAACAACTACAAAAATATATATACTGCAGTAGATATATTTAATATCAAATTTGCTTCATCTGTGGCAACAAAAATCTAAAATAGCAAGAATAGCAAGAATGTGCTATTCTTTAAATTTAAAGCATAGATGTTGGGTAATTCACTATTTCACCAAAGAATAAGAAAAGGAGGATTTTTTTAAACAGCATTTCAGTTTACATTGCCTATTATGGATTGCCGATCGCTGATAGACAGTAGAAAAGTTTCTACTGCTGATAGATAAAATCAAATTTTGGTATTATGAATTGCAAACCGATAGAAGTTTTTCTATCTATTTTTCTATATAAATTTCTCTACTACATTTGAGCAGTAGAAGTTTGTCCATCGTATAAATATATTTAATATATTATATTAAATCATTTAAATTTAATATAATATAATATAACATATCATTTAATATATCTGATTTCAAATGTAATGTGTTATATGTATATTAAGAATAACGATTGTTGCATTTTTGTTTTGTTTTGTTATTTATTTATGTGTATTTATACATATATTTTCAACATACAAACAGGCATTTTTCAAATTTCTTACATATATTTTTTAACGAATAATGTATTTATATAAAATTAAGAAATAATAAAATTAAGAAATTTTGTTGTAGGGCAAAATTGATGAGCAATAAAAAGCAGATAGCAAGATTTGTTGCAAATATGGAGAAATGTCCAGACATTACGAATATCCATACATTTAATTAATCGCACACAATCCAAATGTCCCTCTTTTGTGTACGTTGATTATGAAATCTGAAACCTGTAGCGGTACATAAATAGAAAAGTTGGATATATTCTGTTTAGTGCTACAGCTACACATACTACGTTAGAGAAGAAAAAGTTGTGTCCATTCTTATTTGATGTTCTTTGTTTCATCGCAAACCTGGCATGACGTACATGTTTTAATCTATGGCATTACACGTCATTTATTAAACACCAAACTTTAGGAAACAAAAAACTTTTTTGGATAAATAAATTTGGACTACTTGTATAAAGAAAAATAAATATTTAATTTAATTATAATAATAATTTGTTTATTTTGTTTTAGAAAAAGAAAATATGAGTAAGTCGCAACAAGAAGATGAGTCTGAGCTTACCCTATTTTACGCCCGCAATGAGTATTACATTGGTAACTTCAGGGGCTCCCTAGGCTTTGTGCTGCCGGATCTAAGCGTAGCTAGTACTGAGCTGTTATCATATATGTATCTTTCTTATTTAGCAATTGACTCAGGTCATGTGATTGTCAACGACATTAAAGAAAATAATAAAACTGCGTTATTAGCAATACGTTACATATATGAGGCATTCGAAGATTCAACACGTATTGATGACATATTGACGAAATTAACTGATAACTTGACCAGTAGTGAAGAGGATACAAATATCTGGCGCATGGCAACAGCTATAGTATTCTGTTCTTGTGATCAGTTTGAAAATGCTTTAAAAATTTTGCACGGATCAAATAATTTGGAGGCAATGGCAATTTCTGTACAATGTTTTTTGTATTTAAATCGTATAGACTTAGCTAAAACGACTGTTGCAAAAATGCAAGAATTATCGGATGATGCTACCTTAACACAGTTGGCTCAAGCTTGGGTGGCGATTAGTTTGGGTACAGAACAAATGCAAGATGCCTTTCATATATATCAGGAATTTAGTGAAAAATTCAAACTAACACCTTTGTTGTTGAATGGTCAGGCTGTTGTGCAGATTGGTTTGGAGCGCTATGAAGAAGCAGAAGCTGCACTTCGGGATGCCTTAACTAAAAAGCACGACGACTACGATACGTTAATTAACATGATGGTGTTATCACATTTGGCTGGAAAATCTCAAGAAGTTATTGGACGCTACTGGGAGCAACTGAAGCAGTTCCATCCTAAGAATGAGTTTGTTGTAGATCTAGACGAGAAATCTTCGGAGTTTGACAAACTATGTTTAGAGTACTCCATGAGTACGAAGCAAAGCGCCATTAAAGGTTAATTTGAGATATATTTCAATATTATTATTTACAAATGTATAAATATTCTAAAACTAAACGTCACTTTTAAGTCGAAATTGTGTACGCAAATACATTTATTTGATTTGTTAATGCGAATTATAAACTGTTTTAATGTGGAAAACTTAAATTAAGATCGAAAACAATGTTATCCCAGCATCCGAGTCGGTGAACTAATAGCTATAACACAAAAAATGAAAATTATTATAAAGTGGAAAGTAGAACTAGTTAGTAACTTACTTCTGTTTAAATCCGTATTTTTTCCGCTCATAAAATAGATCTGTTTTCGAACAACCCAAGTTGACAATTTTCGGGCAGCCGTCTCTCTGCAACATAAAATTCATACATACATTTCAAAATACACTTTTTTTAAATTAATTTCTTACGTCCTTTTCTTGTATTGTGCATTCTTTGCAATAGTAAGCATCTGAAACGCCCGGTCCGCCGCATATTACACATCGACCTTGGTAAGACCCATAATTGCATTCATCACATATCCGCACTAACGTACAAGGGCGTACGTACGAATCACAGATCACGCATTTTCCATCACATTTTTCACATAAACGCCCGATAGCTAAATTTATTTTAAAACACATTTTATAAATACATAAAAATCTATTCCACTGTAATACAAACTTACCCACACCAGGTTGTTTACGACAAAATATCAAATCTGGATGATGCTTAGCCATTTTTATTTAAGAAATAGTGGAACACTTGCTTTGAAATAATATATTTGCAATAATATTAAAAAAAGTAACGCAAATTTTGTTTACAATGTCAATTGCTTCATGCAAGCAAAATACGAGGTTTGACAGCCGGCAAGAGTTTCCACTTAATTGCAACACTAATCATTCGCGACACACCATCAACGGTGGCAACATTGTATTTTAACTTGCAACAATAGAAGACCTGTCAGATATTAAAATAACCACATGCTTATATATTAAACGATTATAAAATTATGTTTCTATTTGATTTCAATTATTTAACTAGCAATTTAATACGATCAATTTAAAAAAAGCATAACGTTATAGTTATTTTTTTTGTCATATATGAAATAGGTATTTATAATAAACATTGTAACTGCGTTTACACGATACTTAAGTTTTATTTTGACATCTCAGGGCGAAGTTATGGGCATCATCTGACATATGTTTATTTGTGCAGTTAAAAATGTGATACTCGTATGTTAAAAAACAATTGGAAAATGTTTAATAGTTATGTTTAATCTTAAAATGAAAAAGTGGTGTATTTATTAGAATAGATGGAACTTAATTCTATTTACATCAATTCTGTTTTTTTTGAGTGTTTTGAAGTACATAATGTTCAGATAAAAATAAAATTAGTCATTGTGTTTAAATTTTTTATAATATTCTTTTATTATTCGATATTCATATAACATTAAAGCATAAGTAATATATAACTTGATAATATTTATTATAAAGAAACTAATGTTTAATGAAATCATAATGAAGAATATGCATACACAAGTTGATGTGCTAGCACAAGCATCCATTGCAATATTTTATGAAATTCATTACATACAATATTACATTCATTACTCATTCAAGCTATATGTACGAATATATAAATATATAACTCCATATATATTACGTTACGATACAATACGATATACATATATTAGCATATATCTCTCTGGAAAAATTTCTTAAAATAGCTAACGTTTATCCTAATAGACTTGGAGTTTGGTATTGAATTTATTACAAATACGTAATGGTGCGGATCTAACGTATCTACGTAGTGTATTGCTATAGTTGCCACCTTATTTTTTTTACAAACGCAACAATTGATACACGTGAGGTATTTAGTTGACAAAATGTCAGATTGAAGTTGTATGCAAATTTATAACAAGAATTTATTAATGTTATTTTAAACTAAAGAGTAGAATATTCTGTACTATGAATAATTTAAATAAAACACTTTCTATTGAGTTGGGAGATTATATAGTAATTCAAAGACAAAAATATACTAAACTTCAGAAATTTAGTCAATTAGATGGAACCACAAAATTGGGAAAAGAGGAGTTGGAGCTGAGAGGTATTTTAAAGCAACCATACGGTTCTACCTTCAAAATGTGTCCGAAAGAATCAACAAAACGTGGAGGACGTGGAAGCCAAAGACAAAATACATTGCAGCTGTGTACAGAAACTGAGTTAAGGAATATTCGCGATATATTAGGTATATCTGAAAGCGGCGCTGACAATCGAAACATACGCGATAATGGCGAATCACAATCTTTGGGTCCTGTGGATATTGAATTGTTACGGGAAAGTTGCAACGAGTCAACAGAAATCATTAAAAAAATAGTTGAAAATTCGAAAACGTTTCATGAAAAAACTGCCTACTCCCAGGAAAAATATTTAAAAAAAAAGGAGAAAAAGTATTTTGAGTTTGTCAAAATTCATCGTCCAACCATACGATTAATTACAGAAATATATTTCCGACAGGATGCTGAAAAGATTATGAGCATACGTATGGATACATTATCACAGATTATTAGCTATTCTGGAGTATGTGGTCTAGGTGATTATTTATTGTATGAAAGTGGTACTAATGGCCTGTTACCAGCAAGCATATTAAATTCCATTGGTGCACAAACTGATGCCACATTAGTTCATATGCATCCAGGCAATATTCCACAAAAACAGGCTTTGCTAGCATTAAATTTACCTGAGGAACAACAAAACCGATGTATATCTGTAAATATATATTCAGTGCTAAGAGAATTTTATAGAATCCATAAAAACGAGAGTGAAGATAAAAATACAATCATAACTGGAACAGAAACAAATGAGTTAACTCACAATGAATATGTGTCCTCTGCTGATAAAGAATCAAATCAATCAACTGACAACGGATGTATACTTACAGCAGATATGGAAGCAGCTGAACCAAGTTGTAAAAAGCAAAAACTTAGTGAAATAGAAGCAGGTAAAAAAAAAATTGCTTTTAAAAAAACTTTTTTAAATAATTCAAATTTATATTTGCAGAAGGAAGTAATAAAGTAGTGGCTGATGTTATAAAAAACGACGCAGCTGAAAATTCAGCTACACCGCCATTAAAATGGCAAAATGAGAATAGTCGTGCCTGCAAATTAATGGCTAAAAAATTTGATTCTCTAGTTATAGCAGCCAGAGAACATCCAGCAAGCATATTAAAAGAGTTACTATGTTTTGTAAAACCATCGCGTCCAGTTGTCGTGTTTAGCCTTTGCAAAGAAGCATTAACAGAGCTATATGTTGAACTTAAAACGGAGTCCAAAGTTACTAATTTGCATTTAACAGGAAATTGGTTACGAATGTACCAAATACTACCAAATCGTTCGCATCCTGAAGTTAATATGAGCGGAAATAATGGCTATTTATTATGTGGATACACTGTCAGCTGAACAATATCCTAAACAAAACAATTAACCACACAACATTATTTTAACCGAAAATAAACAATTTCGACTTATTGATGTTTTTAAAGCAATGAATGTTTTTTGTTGAATTTTGATCGTAGTAACAAAGTCAAGGCGCACAATAGATCTTTTAGGTCGGGATGCATTCATAGCCTAATATTTAATAATAATAAACAAAGCCAACCAACGAATTAATATATATAAAAGCTTATTGTACTGTACAAATGACAACTTTTAAACTGAATATGTTACCGGTATTAGGTGTCTGAGATGGCATCTTGCTTTTAGTGTTCTGCACGAACATTATAGGTAGAGTATCTTGTACGACTACAGATATATATATACAAATAAAGTAATTTATTACTAAGTTTGAACGTTTATGTTGTTAAGGAATTTATATGGCATGTTTACTCAGCAAACGATACGAACTTAAAAAGCTATGCTGGAGGGCATAAGTATTTTGAGTAGTGGGAAATGTTTTGAAGATTATCGATTATTAATTTCCTATTGTTGCTGGACATTTTCGGGCTAACAAAGTCTTTCATTTGCCACAATTAAAGAGTTACATTTATAATAACAATATAATATAAACAGGGACGAACTGCAATATATATTTTGTAAAGAGCGAGTAGCTGAGATGCTAAATGCTTTATTTACATATAACATTTAATTATTAATGATTTTAATCTAAAATGAATACAAAATGCAATTTAGACGCAATAGAAAAAAAAACCGTAATATATGAGGTTACCTTAAGGAAGAAATTTAATTGTTTTTATTATCACTTTTTTTTTATTTAGTACTTATAGGCTTAAGTGTATGAAAATATGTGAAGAATTAACGCCTAGCGTTGTAATTTAAGATTTCATTGTTTTATGTTGCTGATATAATTTTAATTTGTATAATTTATGTACATAAGCTATTGTTTTTCAGATATGTATATATCATTTAAAGGTATGTATTTTGTATTAACTTAAAAAAAAATTTTTTTTAATATAAATTTAAGATAATTTGATTTATTGTGTAAATACAAATTTGTGTATTATTTATGATTTATTTTCTGATCTCAAAATGGGCTTATAGGTATGCGCTTTAAATAAATCATATTTTAATTGATTAAAATAAATAAGATTAAAACAAATAATGTAGACTTCGATACAAGTCAATGAATTATATTTCAAAACTATCCTATCAAATAATTAATTTCAATATATATGACAGAGGCGTTTAAAGGTTACGCAGAAGACAATAAATGTAATGGCTATAGTATATAATAACATCAAATTTAAAAGAAATAATTAAAAAAATTTTCTGTAGCCCAATAGATGAATTACATAGGTGATGTATAAAAAGTTTGTAATAAAGTATATGTGGATATACAGTTAAGACAAGGATGGCTGGACATAAATATAGTATTTAAAATAAAATTGAAGTTGAATATAATTCAGTGTAGGCTTCACGTTAACTTCAAACATAAATATATTATGCTTAAAAATATTAAAATAAAAGTTATTTTTTAGAAATGCCCTTAAGTTTAAAAAATTAGACATATTAAAAAATTAAAAATGCAAAGCAAAAACAAAATTCGCATAAATAATCCTACTTTCCTGAAACTATTTAACGAACAAGCTACTCCCATTATAATGGAAGTTTCCAATTATCAAGGAAATAAAAAAAAAAATTCCAGTGGTGTTAAAACTGATCTATTGCGAATGATTTTTAGAAGAAAATGGAAAATTCCCGTCATATAATAGAGGAGTTTGTTTATTATTTATAACTGTTGTGAGAGTTATTCAGTAAATTTAAATATTTTTAAAAAATAATTTTTTAAATAAAATTTGAAGATGGCTTAAAGGATAGCAATTGTGAAGGCGATATTAATTATTTATTAAATAATTTATTATAAATAAATACAAAACGCAATCGTTATAATAAAAGCAAAAAATTATAAGACAATTGCAAAAAAAATAAAGCAATGTTAAATATTACTCATTTCATATTAACGAGTGATGTTAGAAGTTTGAAAATTATATAAACGAATTTATTGACGATTTCATATTGTCTTCTGGAGAGCTGTAGCTATCAAAAATTTCAAATTTTTGGTCAATACGCCGGTCTCTTTGTGTGCTCCTTACTTTACTATTTTTCCGTTATCATAGATAAAGTCTAAAAGGAATGGAATTTTTATATAAATTCAAATACACTATAAAATACTCACCAATAACTTTTTTGTCTCATTCATTTTATATATATTTATATAAAAAAGTTTTTTAAAATTATTTGCAAATATTTTTGTATTTGCATGTAGTTATCAATCACAAATTTGTTTGAATTCTTTTTTTACTTGTCTAAACAACTTTACTTCATTAAGGTAGTGATGCCACATTTTTCTTAAGCAACCAAAAGTTGTTCTACTGCGGCACTCAAGTCAAAAGAATACACCTAGGACGTGTGCGAGTTAGGCTAAGTTGATGCTAAACCAAATGGGAGATTTTTTGGGATTTTTTGCACTGCACACATTTTGCCATTTATTAACACGTATCGACACATCACTACATTATCGGCACAACTTAGAATTTCCCTCATTTAGAACGCAACTTATAACAACGCAACAACTAATATAAAAAAGGAGATTATTGAAAGTACTAGAGATCATACTAGCGCAAAAAGTAGTAAGATAAATTGAATAGTGATCAAAACTGATAGATTCGAGTTCACAAAATTGTAAATCATCACAGTAAGACTGGCAGGTTCAAACTGGGAGACGATAACATGAGAATAAGAATTGAACTGCTGGTTTTACAAATAGAAAACTGATGACAATGATAAAGTGAAGACAGTCAATTCTCTTTCTTTGATTTTTAATTGATTATTCTTTAATTATAGTTGCTCAACATCTTTTCCACTTATTTTGTTGATGTATTTTGAATTGTGTATGCAGGTTTTTCTTATATGACACCATGTTTTTCTCTGTTTACTGCGTAAGTAAAGAGACTATCCTAACATTGGCAAGTATACTGGGTTGTCACCGTGCGAACATACAATCATGTATATAACACAACTGATTTGTTAGAACATCGAAAAACTAATAATCAAAATATGTAATATAATTAACAACAAAAGATGTAAGTTATTATTTAGTATTGTAAGTATTATATAGATTTCTTACTAATAGAAATTATGAACTCAACTTTAGGTTCATCCTTGATATGCAAATTTTTAATTAATACTAACACAATAGCCCACAAAACAACTTTTAAATAAAATATTTGTTGGATCATTAAAATAAATGCCTCTTCTAAAAATTGTGTTGAATGAAAAGCTTCCACATATGAAATAACTTTAAAAATAAATAACTTAAGATAATGCAGTAGCTCAAAAATTTTTGAGCAACCCAAGCATTTTCGAACATTTGAAGTGCTCGATTCAAATGTTTCAAAGATTTTTAATATACTGTAATAGAAATTATACTATTATATAAAATGGATAAATCAAGTTTGGACACAATCTATGAAATCAATATTAACCATATATATTCTTGTTTAGCATGGTAAGGCTTATGAATTTAATATTCGTTCGTCTGGATACCGTTACATCAATCACGATATTGATTTAACAAAATCCAGTATTAGAAATAATTCAATAAAACTGTGCATTAATAAATTTTGTGAATTGCCTAGATTTCAGTTAAAAAATGGATTAATTTAGTTGACCAAATTGTCAAATTTTCTAAGTTCACTTCTGAGTTTTTGTAAATAGCTCGGGTTGAAGTAGACATATGAATGAATTCAGTTGACCATTGTGCATTGGATTCTAAGTAAAAATAAAAAATATTTTTATACACAAAAAGTAAACTCAGTTAACAAATATAACTACCTGTATGAAGGGTATTAAAATTCCGGTAAAACCAAAGCTAATTTAATTACAACTGCCATACGCATATTTATATGAATAGCTCATTTTAATCTTAACAAATTTACATATATTTTTAGAACTAACATTTGGTTTTTATGAATTGTTTAAATTTATTATTTATTATTTTTTAAACCTTTAGAATTTTTAACGCAACAACTAATTTTCTTTCTTTTTTGTTTGCACATTCTATTATAGTGACTTTTTTGTTTTTAAATTAAAGTTGTTCTTTTTATTAATTGTTGCTGTAATGTTTCGTTTATTTAGCTTAAAATAAGCATTTAGCATGTTAAGAATTTAACTAGAAAACAATTAAATATTGTGTCTGCATGTTAGGTGTCTTATGTTTTGCGATTTACATCCTTTATTCACACAATTTTTTAAAATTATTTGATTTTTTAATTGGTATTATGAACATAAGTTTCTGCCATATAGAATTTTAAACTGGTGCTTTTTCGATTAGTTTAAACCAGTGACCGCACTCACAACGTTTTGATGTACCTTTTTGCAACCACATCCATTGTACATATGTTTGATCTTCTTCACCTGTAATGTTAATATACGTTAGAAACTATTCAATAACAAAGGCATATATAATTTTGTAAACTTACAGATGCAACCAACAATACGTGCATCAAAAGCTGATGGAATTAGATTTGGAGTTTCCTTGGTACCAGCGCCACGCTTGAACACCTTCATATCGAAGGGATTATCATTACCAGCTAGTTTTGCCAAAAGTTCACGTTTCTCTAGACCAGTGGCATGCTCCACGGGATCGTTCATCACTACATTAAAAAATAAAAAGTAACAAATTAAATAATTAATAATAAATTATAAATAATACAATATCATACAAACTAAGTTCAATTAAAAAATGCATTTTTATCATTTTACAGTCAAGTTAAATGAATATTCAATACAGATACTCTTATAACTTCAAAGTTTTAATGGAACTATAAATTGTCGGATCAACTTCATTATTAAAGACGACAATTAATCGTTAGGCACTACTAAGAAGATATATGTATTTGGGAATTTAGATATCTTTTATAAAAACATCATAACTTAAAAACAGTTTTTATTTCTGTATAATAAATTGTTTATCTCTAACATATGTCAGTTTTGAAACTCTGCAGTCTCCAGTCTCATTTTTATTAATTCAATTATAGTGAAGATTTACTACTCCTGTTAGCTGTTATTTTGTTGGGGGCGGAAGTGAGCATACAAGGTAAAGTGTCTGATTAACTTGCTAAATGTCAGCGTGATCCTTGTCACTGTTCTCTTCAAGTTGATACACAGCCTTCATGTGGCCACCTCTGGATAGCTACAATCATCCGTGCGTAGTGAACTAACGTGTTCCGCGAAATCCTCGTCATGGATTTATGAGGTTATTCTTCGAGCTTGGAACTCATCATCCAAAAAAAACCTCTCAATAAAAACGAAGAGTCAACTTCGGATAAAGAGACCGTTTACTGTTGACGACACATGCAAAAGTTATAAGGAACATGCTAAAGTATATGCACTTAAAATGTCCAAACTCTTTACAGAGATGTTGCATCTATACAACTGGTTAATGTCCAGTTATTAAGAATTTCAAGAAATATAATGCTGACGGGAGAATGATGCTCCAAATGCGAACATTGCGATATGTACTACAGCTGTCATTCAACAGAGCATGAATTCGGAGTCGGTTTTATGGTAAACCGAAGGTTGAGAAATTTGATTTCTTGAGTTTTGTTTTATAATAGTTGGTAAAAGTCGTTTTTGATGCTACATTCTTTGCAATTTTGGGGAAAAGCTTAAAAGCATATTATAACCAGTCAGACGTAATAAAAAATTTAAGTTTTATACATAATTTTTACGTTTTCAATAGTATAGAGTAAGTTCAAGCTTAGGGTGGGTAACTTGACCGTTTAATTCTTATATACGTAGTTGTAATTCCTTCAATGTTAACTGCTCGATTGATCTTCGTAGATTGCAACAACAACAACAAAAACATTTTATAGCGTACTTCTGTTATTAAGTCACGTAATTTTCTGTGCTGATGAACATTGTTTAGTATATAGGATAATATTCTTAAAATCATTATTTTAAAAACAATGTTGTACCATTAATGCTTTACACAAATTTATGTTCCACATTCTTATGAAAAGAGTGTGCTGACAACATTTGGTATAAGAAACTATTTTTAATGACGTAAGAGGATCTAAAAAAAAAAAACAAAAAACAAATTATTCTGTGTACTATAATCCAATTCTAGTAAAAATCTTTGAAGAGACTACCAATCATATCACAGTATAGGTGTTAAAAGTATTAAGATATGGGGTTTACAAACTCATCAACATGTTTGTATGACAAATCGATTAAACTTTTTATAATAGAGAATTTATATGTCACAGCAATTGTTAGAAAGAATTTTGTAATTCATTATGCGTAAAATAATTTAATTATTTAAAAGAACTGCTATTAATTAAAGGTTAAAATACCAATTTGAGTTTAAACAGACACAGGCCGACAAATGGCAGCGCTAGATCAATCTATTTCCTAGTGTTAAAAACAAGGTTAAGTAGAAATTATTAGCTTTTTGACATCATTTCCTTATCATATATAAAAAGCGCTTTATGATATAATTAAGAAAAACTACTACAATAGAGAAATCCGGTCTATGTTATTTCAGAGTACCGATATATATATTGAACAAGTATTTGTTGTTATTGTTAACGTAGATCGCAAGGACTTGCTTATGAGTGTGTTTAATGACGCCTATTCGTTATTGTTGTCGTAAACCGCAAGGATCTGCTTATGTAGTTCCTTTTGAAGGGTGTTGAAAGACATTTAGTCGTTATTGCTGTCGTAGAACGCAAGGATCTGCTTATATAGTTCCTTTTGAGGTGTTGAAAGACACTTAGTCGTCGAATTCAACGTGACGTAGACGTCGTCGTTGTTGAAACCACAAGTATCGGTGAGTTCTTTTACATCAGTCATGTGACAGACACGTCTCTAGAGTTGCAACAGTAATAGCAACTGAATATTAATTTGTTGAAAAGTTTTTTACGTTTATATTAGATCTTGCAAAATATATTTATATTTGAAATATGCATATGAGTTGAAAATTATAACTTAGATTTTATAGTTTTATGCAGAAATAATTGCAGTAAAATTACAACTTGGTTTTATATGTCAAGTGGAAACCGGCATATCTGATGCACTTAATGTTATGGGCACAAGTAATAGAAGCAACTGGTTCTGTTAAGAATAATATTTATTATTTTCTTTAATGTATCTTCATATATGATTTCAAATATTAAATTTAAAAGGTTTCTATATTTTGATTATGTAAAACTATTGTAAATGTCGATGGATTTATTTCAAAATATAAATAATTTCTATTTTTTCTGTTATTTGTTTTATGATTTTACAGATTTTTTTTGCTCGAATATTTCCATTAAGCAGTGATTTTCCCTTAATATAATTTTTTTAAGATAAGCCCTTAAAAAAACAAAATTATTTCTATTTTCATGTTTTTCGTGTGTTATATAAAGAATTTTATGTTCCAACAAAAAATCTAATCGCAAAACAAAGATAAAACGAATGAGTATAAACATTTTTCGAAGATATTCGCAAATTTTATGTAATCGCAGTGTCAAATGAGCAGCAAAAACTATTACATAAACCGCGCTAATTCTGACCAAATGTCAAATGCATTTTAAAACCATAATAAAAGGGCGGAGAAATTGTTATTATGTCAATCGCACCGAACTTATCTCTCAATACAACAAAATATTGAAGTCAATAAATTGTACCAATTTTGGGTTAAAAGTGGCGATTACATAAGCCACACATTTTATTTGGTGACTGTAGCGCCGCAGTAATTACGAATTTGCAATATTTACATTAGTCAAATGTTAATATATCGCATATTATATAACCTTTTAGCTGTAAAATGCATAGAAGTTATGTGAACTGTCAAATTAATGCAAGCACATTTGTGGTAAGGAACATTTGGGTTGCCTCGTTTCCCTGATAATATTTATTTCTGAAAAACTTACTTTTGCAAAAACGGACTGGAGTGTAGGCAATATTTTGGCGTGCAACGGAGCGTACAGCCATGCGTCCACAAATCGATGCCATCCTTATTTGAAGAATTTTATTTTAATCACCAATAATCGCAAAACTCGGATCAATTCTTTCGTAAGTTTTCACACACTTTTCGAAAAGCAGAAAATAAAACTACTAATGTCAGCGAAAAAAACTCATATGACAGCTTATTGAGTTAAGTTAGCTGTGATTGTGGCGTTGCCAGATAAATTCCGCTAAGATCGCAATGTTTGTATAATATATTTTCCATTTTGTTTTTATCTTAATTCGTATCCTTCCAATATATAAATTAAAAATGTTGTAAATAATTTATATGATAAAATTCATAAATAAAATTTAATTTAACAATGCTGATTATTTGTTATTTATTTAAGCTGTATTATTTAATACTACGTTCAGACACACTTTAATTTAGCAAAAATCTTAATTTAAACTTTGTTTCAGCGAAATTGAGTTCTTTGTTGCATACAAAATTTAGTTTTGAGGTCAGAACGATATTAACGAAAATGGCCTTATATGGCATTTACACTGGCCTAAAATAGCTTATTTCAAATGAGTCATTTAAAAGTGTTTATATTCATTGTAATTCATTTGTTCTCATTTTAAACAGCTGATTTTTCAACATGCCTGTTGATTTGATTTTTGGCCTGTACCAAAAAAATGTTAGATGAAGATTAAATATACCTTCAAACCTTACAATATAAACTGAAATTTTTTTTTTTAGCTATTTTAGAGGTACATCGTTTTCAAGGAAATGCAACCACCAAATAGTTGTTTACTTTTTTTTGTAAATATGTCAAAAACAGCTTTCTCAAATTGTAAAAATGCCATGAAAAGTTTTTATTGAGGGTATGTGCAATGTATTCATTTGCATTTGGAATGTATTTGGAATTTATTCGAACTTTGTTGGAACTCATTTATACAGAATAAGATCCAATAGATCTCATTTGCACTTGAGATTATGCATGCAAAAATGAGTCATTTGCTTCTCATTTTTGATTTCTGACCAAAATGACCCAATTGAGGTCAGTGTAAAGGCTATATTAATTTTGTTTAAACGAAGGCTAAAATTAAGGGAAATTTGAAATGCTATTATGCGTCAGACAAATTTTAAGCAAAAGATAAAGTTGAGATAACTAGAAAGTGACATTATTTTTAAATAAATGTCAACGATAGTTGGCTTTAATAAAACCGGGAAATATTTTGAAAGTAGTAAAAATTTTTAAATTTGAATAGAGAGAATGAACTGTAACTATTATTAACTTCAAATAGAGTGAAAAATAATAATTCACAATAATCAACTTTTAAAATGTTTTTTAATATTACTGGGCCTGGGTCATTAATTTAATACATAATAATTAAAAATGTTTTTTTCAATAAAAATTTACACTTATAAATTTGTGTTAAATATTTAATTGTACTTTAATTAAATATTATTACTGGCCCGGCAATAATAACAAAATGTGTTGAGAGAAAATTGGTCGATGTAATTTGAGTTATTATAATACCTTAATTGTAAGTATTATCTATAAATTTATATAATTTAAAATAATATATTAATATGTAAATACTTTTTCTTCTTCTTACTTTTTGCTTTTATTTTAACGATTTTATTTTATATTTATTCATGTATTGCATTTTTTAATGAACACAGAAATTAAAAATTCCTTAATAATAATTATAAAAATTAACTTCTTCACAATTACTAATCTGTCACAATTTTTTTAAAAAAATTACTTTTACAAAACATTTAAATTTACTCATTAACACTTGCAACAGTTGTAAATAATAAGCCGCTGACTGGAATTTTCCATTTTCTTCCAAAAATCATTAACAAAAGATTAGTTTTAGGATTTGGTATCATTGTAGTGCGAGAGCCTTATTCGTTAAGTACTTTCAGGAAAGTGGGCTTAGTTTTGCGAATTTTGTTTTTGTTTTGCATGTTAACTTTAAAGCAGCACGTGCTTTATTAGAGCATTCATGTCAAAGAAATATACCTATTATTGTATTATATTAGGTCTGTTCCACGAGCTACTCATAGTAACTTTGAGTAAACACTGTGTATACACAAGCGCGTTCCACCAGCAAATTTTCAAGTATTTTTGTGTAAATTTTACTTCTGTTTTACTCATGTTTTGCTATGAGTAGCTCGTGGAACAGACCTATTATATATTACGGTGTGTGTAAAATATTCTAAATTTTACATATTAGAGAATTATGGCACTCATTACTTACTTAACAAGTGATGTGGAGGATAAGAACATAATTTGGAATTTTTTCTATTATTTTTTGCAATATTATTGTTAGCACACTTTTTTTTTATTTTTTTTTTTGATGAGTCATTGTGAAATAATTGCCTTCTCCTGTATATATGTATGTAAAACTTAAAAAATCTTCACTTTTCGATTTAATTATTATTTATATAATTATTTCAGAATACAAAATTTTGCACCATGGCGATAAAAATGTTATTTAATAGTCGTGTTTATTTTTACAACACAAAGCAGCTGTTTTCAACTTTACTTGAATTTTACTCGAAGAAATTTTTAAGGAAAATTCAAGTAAACTTTAGACAGTACGAAATGACAATTCATTCTCACAAATACTTGAATTTGGGTGCAGGAATTATTCAATTAACTTTTTACTGAATTTTAGTACAAGTATATATGGAAACACAAGTACATATGTATTTACTATGCAAAAAATTGAAATCCAAAGCATTACAAGAAGGAGGAGAAGCTAATAATTAAATTGGTTTAGGGCAAAAACTGATTTCATAATAGATAGGTATGTTGAGCAACTTTTCCTAATATAGCTTTTACGTTTTAGAAAAAAGCATTTATACCATTTTCATTATATTAAAGGTTGATTTTTTTAAAACCGGATAAATCACACGCTAAATCAATATTTATTTTTCTTAGCTGCTGGTTATCTACAGTTATTTATTGCGTCGATGCACAATTTTCTACTCTGGTTAATTAGTGATATTTATATCATTTATAAATTCTATTTTTACATTTTAACTCGTTATATTACAATGCAAAAATATTGCATAAAATTCTTTATTCTCAAAATCTAAGTAAAATAGAAACTAAATAGCAAATTAAACTGTCAGTATTCTATCAAGTCATCGGTTAACTAAATCTATCAAAGCAAATCCGCTGGTTAGCAAAATTGGCAATCTCAGATTAATCGCTTGATTAACCTTCGTTTCGTTAAATTAAATTGACGACATCGAATAAATATATTAAAAAGCATATTATGTAAATACAAATATTTTATTTTTAGAATCAAGCGCCAATTTATTGTCGTCATTGTGTAATTATGGTATGTTGTTTTTGCCATATTTGTAAATTAAAGTTAGCCAGAAAGTAAAATTATTATTTTTTATTTAATTTTATTAATAACAAATTTATATTTCAATAAAAATCTAACATATAAAAATTTAAAAATAATTACATTAATACATATATTATACATAAAATAAAAAAATTGGGAATTAACACAAGGACGGATAGACGGACATAGTTAAATAGTTTGACTTGATACATAATCTTTCCGATGGCTTTTGAATCAATATAGCATAAATATCTGTACATTAAAAATGATCGATATCATAATATGCTTACTAATTTTTTGTGTGAACAGTTTCTAAATAAAATTAATTATTTTTTATTTTTTAGAATAAAATTGAAAATATAAATTAAGTTCCGATAGATTAAGAAACTATTTCAAAATATATTCTTAATTTCTCTGATCCGCTTTTTTTATTAATTCATTTTCCCTTTTTTATTAATTAATTTTTAATTGTACTGGACACATTTTCTACATTTAACAAAACTCAAAGCCCGTTTCGGTTAGCAATTAGGGGCTCTGACTTCAAAATTACTCTTCATGAAAAACAGTTCAAATACGTTGTAAGTATCTTATAACTGTCCACTTTTATGTTAACTTCGTCGGGAATAAATTGGAGAATCCATGCTTATTGCAGATTTCATCAACAATTGATTAACATCTATTATTATTAAATTTTATTACTAAATTATTTTATTTGTACTTTGAGCGCTTCATTATGGATTAACTTCATTTCATGATATGATATCTTTATTTTATTATTTTACAATCACAAAACTTTAATTCATTCATTATAAAATACGATTACACTAATGCAACTAATACATTTGCACAATTGATTTGATAAATGTGTAGTAATTAGCAAAATAATTAGCATAATAAAGTTAATCACGCCAAAATAGAATAAACTTATAATAATATTTTACTATTTTAAAAAATAAGAATACCACGTTGAAGCATTTAGTAGTGTTTAAGTCTATAACACTTTCTTTTTATATTATATTTTTATATATTAATATTTTTAAAAATTTTTCTAATTTATTTTTATTATTAATTTATTATTAACTTTTGTTATATCAGCAATTGCTTTTTGCTTTTTCTTTTGTTTCAATATTTACTTATTTAATTTCTGAAGTGTAAACAAATGTGGCAGCTTATATATAAATATCAGATGAAATATTTAAGTTAAAACGAATCTTTTTTTTAAATTAATTGTTCAAATGTCGCATTTGATCATCACTTGAGTAAACATTGTAAAAAATGAACACACTAGTTGACGCTAGATGGCGCCAGCAGTTTCTTTTGCTAGTGTGATTAATGTAAAAAGTTTACACTTTCAAACTTGGATATATCATGAAGTGTTATATTGCCATATAACATAGTGTAAAAAGTTGCTCGAAATCGCTGACTTTTTCAAAAGCCGTTGTCAAAGTGCCGTGCCCAGGAAATTGGAAATGCGCCTAAAAATCCGTTTTAAAAACAGTTTTTATATCCGTAAAAACCGAATAAACATTTGAGTTTTTGCTTGGTCGATATAAATTATTAAAATGTTTTCCAATTAAAAAATTTGAAAATATTTTGAATGCTTTTATTAATACATATGTATATAAAGAGAATATTGATTATAGTTTGTAGAAATTTGTTCTTCTTTATTAGCTTTTGTTTTGCCGGAAAATGGGTTGCTATGGTTACAAGGGCATTGCATGCTATTACTTTTTAATGTTAAATTTTAGTAAGGAGTAAAGTATTATTTGAAATTGTTTATTTAGAGTTTTTATTTAAAGTCAAAAGTAAATTAAAAGTAATAATAAACGAAAAGAAATATGTCGACTCACACAAAAGGCGTAATTGCTTTCGATATTTCGAAAAACGAAAGTTTTGAATTATCCGACAATTACAAAATGCTTCACCGAAAGTTAAAAACCCATTATCAAGTTGAGCAGTGCGTATAATGTGTATTTTTAATAATTTAATTTTTGTAATAACTTGAATACTTTTAGAATTGATGGCGAGTTAAAAAAGGAAAAATTAACTCGTGTAGATTTGTTTGTCTTAGCAGGACCACAAGATCGATTCACGGAGGAGGAGTTTCAAGTTCTAAAGGTATGTTCGTGTATAGATGAATATTAAAGATACAGTTTGACTAACTTCCAGTCCAGGTTGACTTTGAATATACCATGAAGACACTAATATAACTTTAATGTCAGTATCATTATACTTTATAACAAACCTTCAAAATTTATATTTGAATCAATTCAATGCTATTAGCAAGACTATGTGAAATAATACCAAATATTAAATGAAATACATAAATCAATTTCATTAATTTGTCTATGGCTCTCTGCTCCAGTTAGGAGAAAAAAAATATACCATTATCATCATCAAAGTAGGACCTATGTGAGATAATTTATATATGTATGTTTGTTATAAACGCTGTGCTTATTCTAGCACTTTTGAAAAAGAATACTTTATCTATTGTATCTATGAAATTTAAGACTTTAGACATAAAAAAAACTATAGTTATATTTTAAATCATAAAGATTTTAAAAATATCTAAATATGTTCCAGTAACTTAAAACCTATAGATCCAATTAATATGTTCATCGATCTAATTCAGAATCTAATTGATCTACTCATTACATGCAGGTATATATTACATACAGAATAATTGTTCTAACTCTGTTAGTCGATTCAGCACTTTTTTCTTATATCATAGCCTTTGATTATAAAGATTACTTAGAGTTTTTCAATGACATTTATGTAAATGACATTTACTCAACGGTTTAGGTGTCTTACTTTTATGCAAAATTCTATGCATAAATTTAAAAAAAAACCGTTGTTTTATAAAAATGATTGATTTTAATAAATTAAATTAAAAAAAAAAATCAAATGTTAATGCATTTATTCAAAGTTAAACCAATTTGTCTGAAACCAATTTTTGTGGTATATATTAATTTTCTTATTTTCAGGAATTTATTAATAATGGTGGAAAGCTACTTGTATTATTAGGCGAAGGAGGTGAAACTCAATTTAATACTAATGTTAATTTTTTTCTGGAGCAATATGGCATTTATATAAATAGTGGTAAGAAAACGATAAAAAAAAATATAAAAAATAATATATGCAATTTTATCGAATTTATCTTCAAAACTAAGGTACATATATATATGAATATACAGCGTAGTTAAACAATTATCTTTATTACTCTAAAATCTATTGTCAAATGTGCCTACCCGGGAAATCAGAATCATGACCATTATTTGAACGAACTTAAGTCTTCGAACTGTTGTTTTGATAGATAAAATGTTTAATGTGTTGGCACATTTAATATCAAACAACCAAAAATTAAATGAAGAAAAATTAACTATATTTGTTAGCATATAATTTGATCTTGCATGTCCAAGAAGTTTCTGCCATGAAACTATTAGAGTTGAAAATGCATCTCTGCGTGTTTGGCTCTCTAAAAAAATCAGTTTTCATTCCAACAACGCGTTCCTTAGTTTATTTCATTAAAACTCAGACCTAGAGTTTTAGTAAAAAAAAGGTCCATTTCTTTCTACTTCATTGATGCAAAAAAATAAAATTCTTATATTCACATTCTAACGGTTAGCGATACAAAACAGTACGATCAATTTTTCATAACACGCTTGCACTAAACCACATAGCTGAGCTTACTGCATACATTTTGCTGTTCGTTGTTAATTAATGAAAGCTCATGATGATGTTTTTATCAGAGGTTATTATGAGAGAAGTCTATATAGCTATTTCAGATACTTAAATATATATATAATTATTTGTTCGAATGCGATAAACCTCAAATCAGTGTACATATATTAGAATTAAAGCTCTGTAAACAAACAATATTTTAAAATAGAATTATAAGATGACATTGACTTAGATATGACCTAAAACCTGTTAGAACTCATGTCTAATATTCATGAAGTGGTAGTAGAGCATTGGTTGTATGGTAAAATGGTGAGTTGCAATTCTGATTTAACAATCCACTTTAAACCCATATAATAAATATTAGACTTGTTGGTTAGACTATAATCTTTTCAAATAGGGATTAGTAATGAGTTTGGTAAAATTCAAAATTCTATAAATTAATAATTAAATATATTTCATAATGTATTGTCTCATATTGCAGATACTGTTTTACGTCCGCATTATTACAAGAACACTCATCCTAAAGAATGTGTTATTGGTGGAGGTGTGGTATGCGACTCTATGTGGAGATATTTAATAAAGCAAGAAGGAAGAGTTGATAAAGTTGATTATGACTTTAGTGAACAAAAATATCAAATACAATTTCAATATCCATACGGTGCAACGTTAAATGTTTCTGAACCAGCAAATGTACTTTTGACAACTGGACCTGTTGTTTATCCTTTTAATCGTCCCCTTGCTTGCTACTACCTAAACGCAGAAAGTGATGGAAAAATACTTGCAATTGGTTCTGGTTATATGTGGCATGACAAATATTTTCATAGAAATAAGACCAATGAAACAATTTTGGACTACTTTTTGTTATTACTAATTGGAAATGAAATCACTTTTACCCACTTGGATTTTAATGATGTTGAGGTCAGTTTTCAAAATTTCAAAATAAATTGATAAAGATTCATGTATATGTATATAGGTATGTATATAAAATCGTATATTCTTTTTCGTTATTTTAGATCAATGACCATAAGTCCTTTATGGATATTGCTTTTGTAGCCGATATACCTAAAGCTTGTTTAATCGACTCAATTGGATCGGATATACCAACAGATTTTAAGCAAATGTTTGATATGACACTTTGCACTCTGAGTAATCACCTATTAAATAATGTTATAGATGCATATACATTGCTTAATGTTAAATATGAGTCACTAAAGATAATCAAACCACAATTTGAGATACCACTGCCACCACTACAACTTACGGTAAGAAATGTACCCCTTCATAAATATACAGAAGAGGGTACATAATAAATCTTTTAGAGGCGTTATCTTTTATAAGCATTTTTAAAAAAAATATCAACATGAAAAACTGATACTTTGGGTGGTAACCATCAAAAACATAAATATTTGCAAAACTTTATTATTTGTTCTTGTATTTCATTGAAAATGTTAAAAATTAACATAAGTCCAAAAAAAAAACATAAGTCCAAAAAAAAACTATACCCAAACTTATCATTTGTAAACAGTTTTCTTACAACTGACTAGGAATTTGCATATATTTCCAAAAATAATTCGAAATGGATGCATTTTGGTAACCATATATTATGACCTGCTTATCGGATAAGGGGTTTCAAAAAAGTTAGGTTAAATACGCCAGCGGTGTTGTTGTTTCGTATGCTGTTCTTAAAATAAGCGATTGTCTTTTTGCGTTAAGTTTACAAAAGGTCACGCCTTATATTATTTATTATAAATATATTTATTACTTTTTCTTTTATTTTACGATATTACAGACTTTTCCGACAGTATTTAGTGAACCCTCCGCTCCACCTTTAGAGTTATATGACTTAGATGAAGTATTCAGTTCTGCTCGTTCACAACTGGCATACATGGCAGGTAAATGTATACAAGCCGTGCAAGTAAGAGACCCTCGGAAACCAGTTAATTTGAGAGAACTTGAGAACTATATAAAGGAATGTGCGCGTATAACAGCGGTTATCCATGAGGGTCAAGATATGCCAGCATATGAGATTTTAAATACTATAGCCCATCAAATTGTAAACTACAAACCATATTTAGATGAATGAATAACATTTAAAAATATATTGTTTTATAAATTATGTATTGTAATTTCTAATTGAAAAAAATATTGTAACAAATTGCTCATATAGCGAATCTATATACATAATTCTTAACTCTTATTTGGATATTTGTCGCATTCACCCTTGAATGCAAAAGTAGTATTGTTAAGTGTTATTTCTATAGCCCGTTGAGATATGTGTAGCAGATAACAGGAAAAAAATAATCCAAACGAATACACGGCCTCGGATATGATTGGGTAAAAATAGCGTGAAAGCGAATGAGATTATTTGGGAACAATAGTGGATTACGACTAAAGCTAACCTGCGTCAGCGAATAGACTCTAGCTACATCAATAGGTTAAGACGGAATATCAATTGGATTTAAATTGGTGTGTGCATTGAGCTATGAAAACAGATGGGTGACATAATGGGGCATAGTTACAGTTAGGGCTTGTAGCGAAATCGTGGGAGTTACTAGAAGAACACATCTGGATATAGTGCGCAATATCAAGACGTAACCAGACTATTGACGCATGACCAGACTATTTTTTGTAAGCATAAGAAATATTTAATTAGAAAAGAATAGAAAAGGTGTGATTTAAGCTGATAAAACATTATTGCTGCCCTGCTATGAAAGTTGAATTATACCAATTGGTTTATGGATTGTCAGAAGTCAAAAAAAAACTGCTCAACAGGACTACTTTGTAAAATTTAATTCATTTGACAAGCGTCTTGCATATGCAATGAAAGATTTTAAATAGGTATCCCTTCTTCATCTCAAATCCGAAGCTTAAGTTGGTAAATTGAAAGGTTTATTCAATACATAATCGCAGATATAAATATATATAGTCATAAAATATAGTCAATTTATTTAACTGCTTAGTAAGTTAAACTTACTAAGTAAGCAGTGGAAACATACTATTAACTAAGTTTAAAAGCACGAAGATTCTTTGCATGGTTAATCAAATTTTATTAGCTACCTAAATCTAATTAATTGCTTTAATGAATTTAATGGGAGCATTCTATTAGAGCTTATGTGCTTTTGCTAGATTATCGTGGTTCAACAAATTTACTACTTTGATATAATCTATGTAGAGATTTGTTTTTTATACAAAATAGATCTAAAAACGATTTTCAATGATTAAAATGAAAAGATTAAATTGTTGAGCTTTGCTCTTAACGGACTCCGCTTTGGAGCAGAGTACGGCTATGACCGAGAGTTCCTTTAAGATAATGGTGGATATATAATAACGTGCATCGTGAAAATATTCTTAAAGAAGTGGTTTTAGGTTATTGATTTTCATGTTAGACAAAAAGGTAATGACTCTGAAGAAAGAATTATATAGTATTTATATAATACGGGCGATTAAATATATACTTTTTTCTTTTTTTTGTGAGAAGAGGAGGTTTAAAAATGCCTAACGTATCCTCACTACGTCGTCACAATAGTGATATGTCGGGTTTGCATGGACTAAAAATAATCCCTCTCGTGTTCCCGACTGTTTCTACCGCTGAACTTTATCGGCAATACTTTAAGGATTGTAATTATACTAGTCTCTTCTTACTTTCTATTTTTTAAATTCATTTACAATATAATATAATAGAATATAACACAAATAAATTATTTTTAGTTACTTGTCTTAAATAAATGTTCGTACGTATAATTTCTACTTGAGTTGTCCACTAATTATCAAGAAATACAGATATTTAATCAATTTAAATGGTGAAATTTATTTCTTTATTTTTTAGATTTTTATATTTTTATTACTTTATTCCAGTGTTTATCAGATTTTGTGTTGCGTTTGGTCAATATGGAGACAAGCTTGACATAAATCACTAACTTCTTTTTATGGTAATATAAAAGACCCAGCAGGTGGGTTTGCGACATTAAAATCCAACTTATGATTACCTATGGGAATTTCAAAAATAAAGAATTCAAAAATAAATAAAATGTGTTTTTTTTTGTTACTTTGACAACGATTACGGCCAACAATGAAGAAATTAATTTCAAATTAATTGGTTGACAGCTGGAACTTATGTTATTAAGTACTTTACATAATTTTTATGACATGAATGAATGTAGTCTGTACACCTCCAAAACGAATGGCATCGGCTCGTATGCATCAACGATGAATTGAGTGTCTCCAACTTATTATAATATTTTACTTTTTATGCTCTTAAAAAATAATTTGAAACTATCATATATCCAGAATGTTAATTTGTATTATATTTATTTACACTATTTCATGGTTGTGGATTGGTCTAATATGTGATTGCGGAAAGAAGTTATAAGTTGTAATTTAACGTCATTTTTGAGACGGAAATGACTATTCTATTTAATAGAAACGGTTATAAAGAGCTTCTATAAAGAGGTTTTTCGAAAAATAGTGAACTACAACAACAAAAATTCTTTTTATATTATTTTAAATAATTTAATTTTTCGTTTACCATACAGCTGTTCCGAGTATTGCCAAATATCTATCATCAGTGACCTGGGAAATAATTCTTGTATTTAATTATACGTAAATAATTTTTGAGACTGCAAATACCAGGAATTGAACTCGTGCCCTGCCAAATTTGAAGCTCAGAGTTAGCGTTTATTACCCAACTTACCCAAAGCCGTACTTGATTTTTATGTTCGTACATTTTTCTGGAGTTTTTGTTAATTTACTTGTGAAAGTTCTTTGACAAAACAAAATTATAAGCCAGCTGTAGCTGTTGACCACGGTTGCCACTTATGGTACTTTAGTACCAAAATTGGTACTTTTTTTTCCGTTTGGTACTCTGGTACTCATGTTCAAAAAATGGTACATTTTCGGCGACCCAACTTTATTGTGGATATTGTATTGTTTTATACTTTTTGTACATTTTATAAAAATTGTATTTTCTTATAAAAAGACAATAGAAAAATTTTGGACCTTTTTTTACAGAAATGGTACCTTTTTAAACCAATTTTGGTACAGAAAAAAATTTTCAAGTGGCAACCGTGCTGTTGACTAATAAATAAATTAAATAATTATAAATTATTTATATTTTTTATTTTTAATTGTATTAATTAATAATTAATAATATTTTGGTTGTAGAGGCATTATTTCTTGCATGCCTATATATTATTCTTTGTTAGGATCTATAATCTAGGAACGTAATACCGAAAAAGTCAGGCTAATATTACAACACGATTCGCACGGGTGAGATCATATATTTTGTCCCAGGATGAAAGAGCTTGGCCTGGAAATGTAACATCATTGCAACAGAAGAGTAAAATTAAATGCTTTTAGTTTAATTTATTTTAATTATTCACTAATATTCCGTCAATTGGGTATATATTATATGAAAAAGTAATTCAGGATTGAGTCTACATGACGCATTTCCTTGTTTCCTCAGCAGGTTTTTGTATCAGTACATTATAAAAACACAGTTCTACACATTTTATATTAATATAGTTGTACATACATATCTTATATCACAACGCTTTTAAGAACTATAATAAATGAGTATACACCAAAAACTGCTTTAGCTAAATTCTTATATACTCTTTAATATTACTCTTTAATAGTATCTGAATAATCTTCTTAAGGAGTGATTTTCCAAAATGCCAAAACCAAACGAAGTAGAGTCGTTGAAAAAATTATATTAAAATAAACCTAATGGACACTTTCTACATATTGCTCTGCACATATTTATACATAGCTTCTTTAATAAAAGTAAGTGCTATTTCGATCATTAAGATGCTATGCTTAAGCATTTTTATTGCGTATTGAAGTGCAGTAGCACTATTATGAGTGCTGCATTTTTAAATTAATCAATATCACATAAATAATCTGAGCTAGAGACAATGAAACATAGCTAAAATGACAAAACATAATAGATGACCGAATAATGACTTAAAATTGTATTAAATTAGAATGCAAGGCACTTACTTAAGGAAGGGGAATTGTGGCGCTTAATATCTTATGTAGATATTCGTAAAAAATGAAGTATTTGATTTGTGGGAAATAATATTCAATTCTTTTGGGATGAATAAAAATGAAATTTTTATTCAAGAATAAATAATTATGCGTTTAAAAATAAGAATATATTTATATATACTTATAAACGAATATATTAACTTTCGATTTATATAGGATATATTTATATGACTGAAGGTATATTGAAGGACTTAAAATTGAATAAAGCTGCTAAGATGTCTTTATAAATATTTGTCTGCTAATTATATGGATAAACTGCAGTTGAAGTATCAAAAAGAAATTTAAATTTTATTTTTTGATTTTACATAAAAAACCATACATCGATATATGAGCAATCGACATTTATACAGTACATCGTAAATATTTTGATCTCTCCTTCACAAGGCTTTCTCGAATACTATCTGAACTTACAATTGACAAAGGAATATATTGCGCCAAAGATTGAGAAAATATGTGTTTAGAACTGGCTCTTTCAGTAACCATTTTTTGGAGTATGGATCTTATATTGTTACACAATAATATTATAACTATATACAAACGGAGTGAACACGAATCCTTTGTTGCGAATGCTAGGTCGGGATCTTATGACATGTGCCCAGCTGCTATATGATATGCATAGTCTTTATTCCGAAAGCACTTAACAGATATGGAGTCTACTTTTTAAATGTAGAGGCGGTCTTTTGAAACTCAACAACAGAGAATTTAAAAAATCTGAACGTTTGTTCTGATTGTTCTTTGTGTAATTGTCATGAAATAGAAAATATATATCATATTATTGGTATTATTGATGTCCGATTTTCAGAGAATATAGACGTATTGATTTTGATAAAGCACTTCTATCCGAAGAAGAAGTTAGTCTTCTTAAATGGTAGCAATACTTATAATCTGTATAAATTTATGAAAAGAGTTTTAAATTACACAAGATTAATTTTTTGAAGAATTTATATGAATAATAATGTTAATAATATGGACCATGTATTTGTATGCCAATCTGACACACAATGGCGTGTAGGGCCTCAATTATTTTTCTAAATCTGATTCTTTTTGGTCCTTCTTTGCAGATGTCGTTCCATGTATATCGTGCTTCAGCGAGCTCATTTTCTACCATTTTTCTCTACGTTTTCGCAGATGGATCAGGTTTTCTGTTACCTTATGAATTCCATGCCAACACTTGCCTCTCTCGGTTGTCTAAGCGTATGGTTTATCCACTTCCACTTCCATTTCTATCTCATTTTGTGCTGCACTTTAGTGGTTTGGTTCAGCAGGCGTTAATTTGATGTTCGATCTGGCCATGTTTCCATGTTTCACAACCATAGTACAAGATAGATTTCACATTTGTGTTGAAGATTCGCAGCTTGGTCTCCAAACTGGATTGTTCACTGGATTGACGGTTTGTTTCTACAAAACTCTGTTAATGGTAAAAATTTGTTCTATCGAAGAGGTTAAAGTTTTTGTCGATGCACTATAGGAGACCTAAGCCGATGGAGTGTTCAAATTATACGAGAAACGCAATAGGTCGGTAATAATAATGGCCAATAAACGCTTGATTAAAATTGGTTTCCAACAACGAAGATTTTTGTTCAAAAAAATTGAAAAAAATCTGCCGATACTTTATATATCACCCATTAAGTGATATGTTCATGACTACCTCTAACTAAAGTAATGATACTTTATTAATATCACAGATGACTCTTTCCTTGCTACATTATGGTATATTGTAGATTATTTTAAACTTTAGTTTAAATAAGTGTTCAAATCTAATAAGAGTATATGTAAATCATTATCTGGACATAAAAGTCAATGCATAACATTTTGCCTTGAGCGTATAGTGCGCTTTGGATACGACGCTGTTGAGTCTGCACAAATTGATCGGTGCGACATTCCATAGTGTTCCTGTCGCCTTCGCTGACGAGTGGAGAGATAAGGATCGTTGTTCAACACAGTGTATTATGGGTTGTGCATTTAAGTTTAGATAAATGTTTTTATTCTTCTGGTAGTTTTTTTTTTATATATGCATATATTTTTTTTTATTTTATTTTACTTAATATATGTTGCTCACAAATTTTTGTGGCAGGTTTCTTGTTTTGATTATCGTTAAGTTGCTGAGTTTAATTTTCGCTGCGTCAGACAGAGTCAGTCTTAATTTATGGAATTGCGTTAAGTTGTTGACTTGTTAGATGTGGGTTTCTTTTGTTTTCTTCTCATTTAGGTTTGTTGTTTTTCATAATAAAAAAAGTTACATGAAGTAATTTTAGGGACATACGCATATTGAAGGTATGTGGTTGCGGATTATGTTAGTGCTAAAGGAATTTAAAAAATGTTTAAAGCCAGCGTTTTATTTTTTTAATACAGAGAAGAACAACACATCATTAGAGTCATACGTACGATGGTCACCATTTATTTGTGAAATAGTAATTTGTCACCTATAATGGCTTTATTCCTTTTCAAAATGTTTTTCTTTGTGATCTGTACACTTTTGCATGCGTTCAAATAATTTGTCATAACTTTTTTTTCATTCCACCTTAGACACCCATTCCACCTTGAAATATGGTTTCTGAACCCATAGACGATTTCTTCTTCTGCTAACAACAATCACTGCCTATACAGTTTGTCCTTCTTGTGTGAGAACATGGAGAATTCATTAGATGTCAAATTAAGAGTGAAAATCGACTGACCATATAATTCATTGTTTTATATTCTCAAAAATGCATTTGATTAAGAACTAGAACCTTAGGTATCTAGAACCTTAGATATCTAGAATTTTATATATATACTTGATCGACAATGCATTTATGTGAAAATTATCTGTCTTTATCTACCTGTAGCATTTATTTCGGAGAGTGCGAGAAGGCGGGCTTATGCTTTCGTTCTAATATAACAGAGCAAGTGAATTTGTTAATGAACTTTCAAAACGCATCAAGAACGGCTTTAGGTCAGTTGACTAATGAACGCTGGCTGTGAGCTTCATATTTGGCAGGGTACGAGTTCAACTCTTGGTACTCAAAAATTATTTAAGAATAATTAGATATATATGTGATATATATATATAGATTACATGTCAGTCAAAAATTGAGTTAAATACAAATAATAACAATTTTTGAATGGTTATGTTATGGGTTCATTTTTTTAAATGTTTCTGTTTTTCATATGTGAGTGAAAAATAAATTTTGTTGTTGCAATTCAGTACTGTTCTAAAAACTCCTCTAATAAAAAACATAGTGTAAGTTAACAAAATAGTTTTTTTTCTTATGACTGGCTTTTAAAAAATTGAAAAAAAGCTTACAAATA